GGGAGAACTGGGAGAGGACGTGGATGAGAGCTGTGTGGTGGAGTACGACGATGAATGCGACGAGCGCGACTACTGTATACCAGATGATGAGTCGGCGACTGCCAAGGGCGATTACGTCTCGCTGGTAGACAACCCAGAACGTTTCACCGGATACGCAGGTGTAGGAGCTCAGCAGGTCTGGGAGGCCATATACCGCGAAAACTGCTTTAGCAAGCCCCCGAAGAATGCACCAGCGGCCGGCGGGTCGTCTCCACCCAACTCACCTTTTGGCGCCTTTGGGAACCAACAACAGATGCAAGCGGCTAACCAGCTCCGGAACGTCATCCAAGAGCAGGGCCAAAAGCAGAAGTTCCAGTCTGCCATTGCCCACGGATCACCGGTAAACAGCCTTGACCCTGTTGAATTCGATGATACCTGCCTGGAGAAGCGCGTCTTCCATCGTGTCATCTCGGGTATGCATGCGTCCATATCTACGCACTTGTGCTGGGACTACCTCGACCAGAAGACCGGTCAGTGGGGACCTAACCTGACGTGCTATGAAGAGCGCCTCCACAACCACCCAGAGCGCATCTCCAATGTTTACTTCAACTATGCCTTGGTTATGCGTGCAGTCGGTAAGATCAGGCAGCACATTTCCGACTACTCATTCTGTTCCGAGGACCCTGAGCAAGATCTCCGCACCAAGAACTCTGTCCTCCGTCTTGCCTCGGCGCTCCCCTCTGGCCCCGAGATTTTCGACGAGACGATCATGTTCCAGGATCCCGACACCGTAGCCCTAAAAGAGGACTTCCGCAACCGCTTCAGGAATGTAAGCAGAATCATGGACTGTGTTGGTTGCGACAAGTGCCGTCTTTGGGGTAAGCTCCAGACCAACGGCTACGGAACAGCGCTCAAGGTGCTTTTCGAATTCGACGAGCACGATTCTTCCAAGGACCCACCTCTTCGCCGCACCGAGCTCGTCGCCCTCATCAACACCATGAACCGCCTTTCGCATTCTCTATCCGCGATCAAAGAGTTCCGGCGCATGATTGACGAGCGAGAAGGTGTGGCCAAGGGTGCTGCATCCGCAGTCCCCAAGACCGACTCTGGCGCCTTGAAAACGAAGCTCGCGCTTGAAGCCGAGGAGACGAAACCTATTAACGTACTTACGGGCGATGAAGAAATTCCTTCGTTCCAACGCGATTGGGATGCAAGGAATATGTCTGCGTGGGATGAAGTCAAGGCAGAGTTTAACCTCGTCAAACGCACCGTTTACTATATATTGTACCAGTGGACACAAATTCCAGGCCGATTGTAAGTCTATATATTCCCCTCCGCACACACACACACACGCGGTTCGTAATTTCAGGGGAAATGGCATGCTAACGAAAAACAGTACCAAGATCTTCATTCTCGAGATGCGCCGTGCGTACAATTGGTGGATGGGCTTTGTGCCTGGTCCTAAGTCTTGGGAAATTCGTATTCCTACCCGTGATGAGCTCTGATTCCCATGTCCTCGTCTCTTTTTTTTCTCTTTACGAAATAACATGTTTGTTTTGCTTGATTCGTAGAAAGACCATCTTTTTTTCCAGCATAGCTTAGGCGTTTTCTATTTCTTTCTTGATGGATTTACAAGTACAACAATCACTTTTCTCGTGCTTATCAGATTCGGAAATTCAAGGTTGTTGCCAGCAACATTCGGGGGCTATGGAGTAGTTTTGATATATACGAACATGACCCTTCATATCCATAAACCATCATCGTCATCACCCCTCTCTTCTCTTCCTCTACAACTCCCCAAGTCCATATACAGTGTCACCCACTCGGCTCAACCCCATTACCCCCACCCCCTCCTAACCTCGTAAAACCCGCTTTCTGCCTCATCGGCCCGTATCCCTCTTCCCTCTTCACAAACATACGTCATGGGACCCCCCCCCCCCTCTCTCTCTTTCTCTCCTCTTAGACTCCATCGCCGAGAACCCATTCAAAAACAGGGGATCAAGGTATCCCTACTAGGCCAAAGACAAGACGGCAAAAAAGAAAACGTTGACTATGGACAGGCGTGCGCTTCCAGGTCTTGTCCTTCCTCCGCGCGCTTCCTATTCGTGAGGGGCGAGAGACAAGCTTTGTTCCAAGAAGACACAAGACGTGCGCCTGTTTTCGATGGGTTACTGGATTTGGTAGGTTTTGGGCTTTTTGTCTGGCTTGGGATGGGATTGGGGTGTGGGGGGGGGGAGGTTTGTGTCTGTGATTTAGTTGATACGAGGTGTGGCGGGGATGCGGGCGTTTGGGGAATTTGGGGAGTTTTGTTTTGTTTTATTTTATTTCTCTTTGCTATTCTATTCTATGGCATTGTATGAAATTGTTATGTAGAGGGGTGCGGGTGGTGGTGGTGGTGGTGGTGGGAGAAACGTGGAGGTGTGTAGGTGCATGCACGTGTTGAAGCAAATATGCACCTTACTTGCATAATCCAACGTCCAATGTGCATGTGAAGTACACTACCCACTACCACCTGCGTAACTACCGTACATCTATATCCTCGGAGCCATGCAATTCGCAGTTCTTACTGTGTCAACAATGAGATAACCACAGGATCATTTCCTCAGGATAAGAATGAGGCGAGAAAAAAAAACTTTTGCCGGCTTCATCGGGATGAGGGGAAGGTAGAGCGGGCAGCGGGCAGTTGGGATCGGGGAGTGGAGAAGGGTGAGGAAGAGGGGACGGGAGGGGGTGGCCATGTTTTGAATGAGGAGAAGCTACACGCCTATTTTCGATGCCTACTCAATCCAGTATAATCACCAAGCCTTTTCTCTCGTATCTTGCTCTACTTTTACTCTTCGTGGTTAAACACGATGGAAAGCCTGGTCTTTGCTATCTTTGGTGTATTTTTTTTGCCTTTTTAGATTGATTTTTGGGTTTTCGTGATACGTGCGTCATTTTCTTTTCCTTTGCCATCCCTCCACTTGCGGAAGCCAAGGCTTCTCGAAGATGTTGACTGCAACCGTGCTCTCTCCGCTTATCCTTCTGCTTACTGCTCGGCCCTTTCTTTTTGGGTTTTCCCAATCTCTTTTTTCAGAGATTGGGTAGAATGAGTTAATTTAGGGCTTGAAGTGCTGGCCGAAAATATGCAAGATAAAGCGAAGGAATACGCCTACTTTTCATGGCTGCCGTTCTGGGTAAGCCAAGGTGTACACCGTGCTTTTGTTTTTGGGCGGCGTGAGTTGACGTGTATCACCCGCGTGAGACGTGGCTGCTGCAATGGATGTTTTGCGGTGTATGCTGGGGACAGTGCTGATTTCGTGGCTTTTTGGATCGATTTTCTGCAGACGACAGACAGAAATACATACACATTAAATCCACTCATTCATACGTAGTATTGCAGTATTTTCAATGTTCTATGATTTAAAAAAAAGGTATGTAGGTATACATGACATTTGCACATGTCAGATGGCAAAAGATGCGCTTAAAATTCTCCGACAAAGTCCAGAATCTCTCCCGCGAGTCAAGTCGGAGAATTTGATAACATTGTCCCGACCAATGTCCAACGTCGCATATGCCATGTCATGGTGCAGTGAAAAAGCAACATGATCGTCACAACATGGATACCGATCGTCACAGGCTCCGCTAGCATGACTACGCAACGAAAGAGGCTCTGTACGCCTATTTTCCACACCTGCCTGACGCATTAAACTACTCGTAAAAAACGCTTTGTCCGTTTTTTGGTGTTTGAAGAGAAAGCCAAGTCTGACAAGCCATGAGCCTCTTTTCCACACCTACTCCTTTGGGTAAAAACACCATGGACTTTGACGATAGTCGGTGCGTTTTTTTATTCGTTGTTTCGTCATACACCGTAAGTACACGCCGTACATGAGCTATCTCACACCACGCCCTGTTAGTCTTTGACAGCAAAAAGACAGACAGACAGGAAAGAAACACGAGCCCCCCAAGACCGAATTTAATCTACTTTCCAATTTCCCACAAACTCTATTCCCGTCACGCGGTACAATTGGAAAAGCACCGCCAAAAAAACCTTTCCTCCATGTAACGTGGTCCTTCACCCAAACGAAACCATCGTCCAAGACAAGCTTTCCTTTGTAACTACCAAGCACGCGCCCTATATTCCACAGCCTCCTCGTTTGGGAAATTTCCTCAAGGCCAAGATGGGCGCCTACAATCCACAGTTACTTGTTGTAGGAAAAAACCACCGTGCCCACCCTTCCCTTCAGCCTGTGCGTTCGTTTCTGCACCATATGTACGAGACGGTCCGCGTGTCAAAGTGTCGAGCTTAATTTTTTCGCTCTTGTCCCGTGTGTCCCCCCCCCCTGGCCTGAAATAAGGCTGAAGGAGAGAGAGAGACAAATGGGAAAAGTGCCGAAGCTGGGGGCTGATTACTGCTCCTATACTAGTCTGCTAATAGTTTAACTAACTAAAGTACCGGTGTGTGACCGGACCTTGGTATTTCCGTGGTATGTCCGAGGGGTGTGCACGCGCGCACGCGTGTGAGTGTGTGTGTGTGTGTGCTCAGCGGACAGATGCACACCCTGTTTTTTTGGGCTTGATCCCCCCGATTACAGTTTGAGGGGGTGAGCGGGGTGGACGAGACTTAATATAACCATTTCACGCCTGTTTTCTACACTTGCTGTATGCGGTAATATGGGGGTGAATGTGGATCGGCAAGTGGTATGCGAACTCGGAGGTTTTCTGGAGCGGAGACGGCTTGATGACGTAGGAGGAGTTCCCGTGCGTGCGTTTGTGAGCGGTGGTGTTGGTGGTGGTGCTGAAAGGGGGACATGACGCAGATGGGGCACCAAGGCGTGCCGCTATGGGCGTCGTTGGTGCATATTGCCCAGTCGGGATGGCGTGCAAGGTACATGGGCTGAGGTGTCGTGTTATTAGGATATGGTACAGGTCTCGCATGCTATGTACAATATGCATCTATGCCTTCCTCTTCTTTGCTCATCTGTTGTATCTGGAAGCCTTTCCACTCAACCAAGACGTTGCTTTGCAAGTACTGCTATATTTTATTTGGGAGGAGGGATATACCATGCGCCTCCCTTACCGTCGTTGAAGTATTTCGAGCCCTGGTCTTATATCAGTACACGTCTACACCGCCGTTCTTCCTGGACCTACATTGGAGTTGCTGTAATAGTATGAACCATCCTTGTTGGAGTAATGGTAAGGGTTCGAGTTCACGTCGTTGATGCTAGCTTCACGCGTGCACCAGTGGTTTCCCTGAACAACACGGTCAGCGCGGTGGCGGGTATTCCGAGCGGTCCGGGGCCTTGCCTCATTGTTGGTGCCGTGGTTGGTCACGTTAGAGCTCGTTCTACCAGAAAAACTGGAGCTTGATAAAGTCTTCTGCGACGGCATGATGAATAAGTCCTGTCTCTTGAAAGTCACTTTGGAAATATGAGTCGTGGAGCTCGTCTGGAGTAAGCAGAAAGAAATGAGGGGAACGACATGCCTCAGCAGTATAAATACTGTCTTGGCCTGCACAAACACGGCTGTCATGACAGGGTGGTCTTTGCTTTATTCCACTTTGTGAGATTTGCCTCGTGGATCGCTGCTGCTTCACGAGATTCAGCGACAGCAGAGGTCAGGTTTCACTCGAGAGGTTGTCGCAAGAGATTGGGGTTTTTGAGTTCTGAGCTACATGGGTAACTGAAGAAGCTGCTGGAATAGGCAGAGACTTGCTAGATGGGAATGTCGCAGGTACCGACGTTTGGAGTGGAACAACATAGCAAAACTGTCTTATCTCGAGATAGTTACAGGAAACAAAAGCCATCTCGACACTCTGAAGCTGCACCTGATGGGCGACCCTATCGCGCATCCTTTCCCTGCTATCTTCGTTGTTGCATGAATCGGATGGCTTCCCTGGATAGTACGTCGATATCTGCAGAACCTGTTAGAGAAACTGATTTTGGTATGGTGATAGGGTTATTCGCACGTGTAGTGTGCTTGATTATAAGGTGTCTCCTCTTATCCCAGTGGCAGGCTCTTCAATCAGGGGCAGTGACTAGTGTTCATCTCTTTTGTCGCTTGCCAGATTGGTTCCGCGACCGTTTCGGATTGAGCGTCAGGCTGGTAGATGCGGATGGTAGCATATCAGTCGTAATAAGTAAGGGCGTGTCAGCGACGTAGATGTCTTGAATTCGGTGATATCCCTGAGGCTCTTCACTTCCACGAATATTTACCAAGATACTGATGGTAATAAGAAGTGCCATAAAGAGGGTGATGGTGAAGAAATTGATCATGGCGATGACGATCCAGAAACAGATGACGACGAGGAATATTAGGAAGAGAAGGATGCTACAGACGCTAATGCTGATTAAGGCCAGTAGCCAGTCGATCAGCGTCGAGTAGCTGTTGGCCATGGCGACTGTGTAATCTGACATGGTTGATAGCGTGGACTTTGCGAGTATGAGAAGAATTGACAAGTATTTGAAGAGATGGAGGGGAAAATTCTTAGTGGGGTTGGCTCAGTTGTTGGGTTACGCGAGCTGAAAGAAGTGAAAGTGAATCAGCATATAGCGCATACTTGATTCCTGGACACGACGCGTTGGGTTGCTATGTGGTATGCTTTGCTGTCAGCAAGATGAATGTGAACACTCTTGCACAAATCTTAGGATACCATAAAGAAGGGCGAGCATTTTCGATAATTATTTGCATTGAAGTCGCGCAGTTTCTACTACAACTATAATGGTGGGACGAGTCAAATTGGAGTGTCCATTTTCCTTCGTGATAAGTTGCTCAGCCGTGAATTTCCATTGCCCCATTGCCCCATGTGTTCAAACTCCGTATGATAGCAAGAAAAGACTTTTATTGACCTGTGTACCATCGCTTGATTATACTATGCCGCGACCCAAAGCAATTAGCTAGATCATGCCGCAAATAGCCATATGCGATGCACAGGCTGCGTTGGTAAAGAAAAGCACTTTGTAGCGTCAGTGAGTGAGCAGTGGAGAGGATTAATTTTTGGCTTACCTTGGAGTTCTTGGACGCTTTTAGGCCTCAGTGATGATCTCCTCATCAGATCCGATAGCATCGATGTCTGCGGAGTCCTCAGCCTCGTCAGGCTCGGACTTGATAACTAAATGGAATCAGCATTGCAGGAGTTGCATGACGTATCTGAACAAGCACTCACCTTCTTCTTCTTCTTTAGGAGCCGCCTTGCCACGAGCAGGCTTCTTCTTGGGGGAAGAATCGCCGTCGACCTCCTGTTTCTTGGAAGCACGCTTGCGAGGTGTGGCCTTGGGGGTGACATCTCCATTGGCTTCGTCGCCCTCTTTCTTAGGGGCAGCGGCCTTCTTGGCGCGAGGAGCCTTCTTTGGAGTGGGTGGAACAGTGCCGTCGGCAGCAGGGATGATCAATTTGACTTTGATCTTGGCCCAGGCGTTGCTGGCAGAGCGCGGATTGCTCATGCCAGCAAAGGCAGCAAGCTTATCGTAGTCGATCTTTTGATGGAAGTTAGCATGGTGTAGGGAGATGGCAAACAAAAGGCATGCTTGAAACAAGATCGTAGTAACTTACCTCTGGAGGACCAGACTTGAGTGACTGCATAGCCCAACCCAGGAGTTGGAGCTCACGGTCGGTGAACTGGGCAACAGAGCCATTGGCAGTAGTAGTTTTGTCGGTGTCAGACATGTTGTTGGTGTTGAAGCTGGGTGATGTTTTGAAAGTGTTTGTATGAGACGGAGGAAGTGGAGAAGTGCAGAGATGCAGGTGGACAGTAAATACGTCTGACGAGGCCCGCTAGCGCGATGAAGTCGTTGACAGGCAGTGAAAGTGAGTGCACTGTGATGCCGCAGATGAGCTACATATGCACGCCAAAATGTAAACTCACCTCTATAATCACTGTGAGAGGTTCATACATGCTGCCCACGGTTGCTTAGGTGATGACAGGTGCACTGGCGTGCAAAGTTTGCAGGCAGAGTGAAAGTGAGATGCCATCGTTTGCATCCGCATTTGGCATGCAAGCAAGATGGCGGAAAGAATTTATACAAAGTTACTATTACAAACTACTGTAATGTGTCCCAAATATGTCCTGTACTGTGTATTTCAAGACGAATATTCTAGTCTGCTCGCGCTGGTAGTAAGGAATGTTATCGGTGTGGGAAGCAAACCTCCAGCATGCGATTGGCTTGTAGAGAAAGTAAGAGAGAAGGACTACCCAGAACTTGCGCGATGAACGCTCGTCGCTTGGTGTTTATCGGTGCCTTTCTATCTTGCATAGCAGTCTCTGTTTTCTGGTAGATGGTGAAGGGCGCAATTGCCGCAGAGTGAAGTGAGTAAGTCACAGCTGCCACCAAAGTCATGGACGATGCTGGAAATTCCGAATATAAATACTACCACCGATTCCAACAGTATCCACATTCACAAATATCAAAATCGAAGCAGAGGTGAGATTGTCCATCAGAGGTCGAGGCCATGAGCTACCCCGGCGGGGATGCGCATGACTCGCGCGAGCAGCGCCCAATCCAAGCGGCCGAATCGCCGGGGCTCGAGACATTCGAAGGCGCTGGCACTCGTCGACAATACTCAAGCAACCCGCCCTTGATCTCGCCCGCCTATTTCCTGGCAAAGCACAGCAGAATGGCGGATCCCATTGATAGCGCTCTGTACGCCATTCTTTCTTTTGCACGCGCACTTGACTTGCTCTTCTAGCTAACACAGCTGCAGCGACCTCCTCCGCCGGCTGGACCCCAAGGACGTCAAGCGCAATGTCGACCACATTATCCAGCTCAATCCCTCGCTCGAAGAGGACCTGCTCGAGTCGGTCGACATTCCCCTGACGGTCAAGAAGTGCTCAAAGACGAAGCGCGACTTTCTGTGCTGTGATTACAACCGCGACGGTGACAGCTGGCGCAGTCCGTGGAGCAACGAGTTCGAGCCGCCCATTGACGAGGGTGTCACGCCTAGTGATCGTGTCCGTAAGATGGAGGTCAAGGCAAACGAGGCTTTTGACGTCTACAGAGAACTGTGAGTTGCATGCGGGGGTGGGGACGTGGCTATGGCGGGGTCGTGGTAACTGACGCGGGCAGGTACTTTGAGGGCGGAATATCCAGTGTTTATCTGTGGGATATGGACGATGGCTTTGCTGGCTGTGTGCTGCTGAAAAAGTGTATGCATGCCGCCTTAGATCTGCGTTGCTAAGTAGACACTGACAGACAGACAACAGCCGTCAGCCCCACCCCGAAGAGCTCCGGCAGCTGGGACAGCATCCACGTCTTCGATGCCCAAGATCGCGCTCGGACATCGCACTACAAGCTCACATCGACCGTCATCCTCTCTCTCGGCACCGACAGCGAAGCACTCGGCGGCCTCGACCTCTCCGGCAACATGGTACGCCAGGTTGAAGCCGACATGGCTGTTGAGGATGACACCTCGCATGTCGCCAACATTGGCAAGATGGTAGAAGACATGGAGCTCAAGATGCGCAATCTGCTTCAAGAAGTCTACTTTGGCAAGGCCAAGGATGTTGTTGGAGACCTACGGAGTCTCCAGTCGCTCAGCCAGGCCAACAAGGACCGCGCCACCCAGAGGGAGATGATTAATAGCATGGGCAGGTAGGTATAGGAAAGCACGTGGTGACGGCAAGGTGGACAGGTGCTACATGTCATAGATGGAATTGAATACCAGCTTGAGAGCAACACGAGGGGTTGAGTCCCGTGGCCCAAATGAAAAAGCCCCTCCAAGCGTTGTTTTGCTTCTTTTTACTTTACTTGCGAGCAAGTGTTGACCGTTATCTGCATTGGGCCGTGAACATCTAGTCTGATATAGAACCGGCTGGGGCGGGTTTCCCGGACGCTCGCAAAAGATTAAAGACGCGAGTATTCCCGAGGCAACAGTCGACTGCATCATGGCATTCAGCTGAACGTACGACATATGCAGTTCGGCTGCATCTTTAGACCTCGCTAATCTCTAGCTGTGGCCACCTCGAGAATCCTCCGGTGCGCCGCAATGCCACACCAACGCCAATATATTACAAGTCACTGGTTCCAATATTCCAAGACATGTACAATGAGCTAAACAAAGCAATCGGTAGCTTGTTGCATGCGAGGCTCCATCTAGGCGCTGGCAGCCATTGGGCTATCACTCCACAAAGTACTCAGTACGCCACAACACTTCACTAGGACATACAGCAAACGACTACGTGAAAGCTGTTCTAGACACCATGCACCTTCCTCTTACATGAGATCCAATAGTAGCTACCATCCTTCGGTAACACCAACGTATCTCATGCTACGCAAACCGGTCACCGGCCCGCTCATGAGCACCATCCATGAGTTCGAGATGAACAAGGGACAGATTAGATAACCCTGCCTGAAACTATATATTTGAATGAAATATAGCCATCTAGTCTCAAAAAGTACCTCAAGATGGTGTCTCTCAACGGTGCTTTGCTCTTAGGGCTCATATCTTGTTGTCTAGCGGTACCCCACCGCAATGTCGGCAGAGCCACTACATCCCTCATCCCAACGTCCTCCCTTTCAGCATCAACTGGAACACCAACAAAAGCCCCAAACATCGATAAGAAGAGATACTCCAATCATGTTAATGATTTTTACAAGCTCTATGGCTGGCTCAAGCCAGGCACTTCAGTGCCAGACAGTGATCTTCCAGAGGCCATTCGTAAGATCCAGGCAAAGCTAAAGGAGCCAGTGACTGGGGAGTTTAGTGATAAAATGTTGGCTATGATGGAAGGACCTCGCTGTAGAACTGAGCAACAGTATGTTGGTACCGAGGCTGGGGAACGTCTGGAGTCCAAGGAGCGATATGCGCTTTGGGGTCCGAAATGGGCTAAGACGACATTGACCTGGCGCATCGACAGGTATACAAACGACTTGTCGCAGGAGCGGCAGCTGAGTACCATAAGGTCAGTACGTAGCCCACAAGTCTTACGAATGCTAACACCCGACAGCACAGCCTTTGCTCAATGGATGAACTCTGCCCCGCTCAACATCATGCAAGCAGCTTCAAATGTCAAGGCCGACATAAACATTCGTTTCGTACCCATCAACAGCAACAGAACTGTCGCCGTCACAACGATAGACTCAGATGGGGTATATTTTACTCCAGGTAAAATCAACATCACATTCAATGACAACGAGCAGTGGACAGACGATATTCTTTTCTCCACTACAGCTGTACATGAAATAGGCCATGCCCTCGGACTGAGCCACAGCACCGTCCCATCGGCTATAATGTTCGCCTACTACGACGGTCTTATGCACCCTGTCCACCCCGATGACAAAATGGGCATCCACAGCATCTACGGCTGGAAAACGCCCAAATGGAAGCTCATAAATTCCGGCTCAAAAATTAGTAGCATAATCCAAATAACCTCCAGCTCCAGCACGCCCGCCCCCAACGACGGTCTATACCAGATGCGCCCGACAGGCCAAATCCTCCGCTACATCAACAACGCCTGGACAACCGTCGACAACTACAAAGAAACCGCTCAAATCGCCGGCGCAAATGGAATTCTTTACCAACGCCACTACGACGGCGGAACCTTCCGCTGGACCGGCACACCATCCAACTGGCAATCCATCAGCCCCACCGACACCTCCATCCTCGACATCTACGCCGCCTCCGACCAACTCTACGCCCGCCGCAAAGACGGCTCTGTAGTCCGCCTATCAGGCTCCAACTGGCTCACAATCGATCAAACCTCACCCGGTTCCCGCCAAATAGCCGTTTCTGATGATAAAACACTATGGAATCTAATCGCGAACGGTGACCTAGTGCGATCCCGTTGGCCCTACACCTCCGCCGCCATCCTCGATAGGAACGCCGCGAATATCGGGATCGCGGTTGGCGGGAATGAGTTTTTCAAAGTACAGAGCGATGGGCTGGTTGTATGGCTTGATACCAAGGGGCCTTATTGGAGCGTTATTGAAGAGAAGGGGAGTGTGGGGATTCATGCGGTGGGGGAGCTGCTGTATAGTCGACATGCAGATGGCACAGTTTGGCGGTGGACGGGGATCCCCGGGTTATGGGAAGGGATTGATGAACGAGGTGGGGCTGGGGGTGTGGCGGGGGATCGGGCGGGAGGGGTTTGGGGGTTGCTTGGGGGGAGTGAGGTGTGGGTGCATGTTTCGTGATGAGGGAGGGGTGGGCACAGACTGTATATGAAGTTATGAAGTTATGAAGTTATGAAGTTATGAAGAGGTATGTTTTATTTTGAGAAACACTGAGTTCTAGGTAGGATTGTTAGTATGTATGCCCTGTCAATACATTCGGAGTCTTTTTTTTTCGCACAAAAGTGAGGTTACTTCCTCCAATATTCCCACAGATGCTTGTTAAATCGCCTCTCAGATCATCTCGATAGGGTTCAAGAGCATGAGTCTAATACTAATTCGGACTTCCTTCAGTTTTCGGTGGACCAATTGGTGTAGAAAGTAACCCACTCATTTTTCAGGCAGAGTGTTTTCCTTTCTTCTTTTCTTGAGAGGTTTTGTGGACGAGTTTTGCGCGTCAATATTATGTAGTGACAAAGCATGAGCAGGGGGTAAAGAGGAAAGAACTCCAAGTTCAAGGCTGGAGGTATGATATAGACATTTCATGTCAATATGGGAGGAGGAGTAAGTTACGATAACCAAACCTAACTCCTCGCTGGGTAGTAGCACGGTTTGCATAAGGTTCTCCCCGAGTATTGCCATATACACGAAAACTAAAGGACATGATAGTTAGATCCGGAACTCGGGAGACAACTCGTTGCAGATGATTGGCTCATGTTCATTGCACCATGCTCTCCGGCCTCCCCGAATACAGATTAGGTTTAACTCCGAGCTAACTCCCCCAAGCCTGGCTGCACTCCGAACGCGACACATGATTCCACTGTACTTCCCACTCCGCTTTCCTTGGCCCTCTCCACAATCAGAGTCTCTTGGATCAAATGTTCAAATACTCGGCTTACCTGCAACTATGGTGACCTTGACTATACCAGCCTCGGTTGCGAAGCGAAAGCAAGCATGCACCAGCTGTCGACAGCGGAAGAAGAAATGCGACGTACGTGTAATGATGTACTATTCAAACTTGGCCTACCCCTCTCTCTAACAGTAGTATGCAATATAGGCCGAGCATCCGAGCTGTTCTTCGTGTAGAAAACTAAATATTAGATGCCAGTACGGAGCACCGTCACACCAAGACAGCAGTTTATTTCCTGTAGCCTTCTCAGGGAGTTCTCTTGGTTCAGACCCAGTTGTTTTACCTCCTGGTTTCGATATGGGGCTGCCTGGCCTGCTGCCGTCCATGCAGATCGCAAGTACAATCCTTGATCCTCCATGCTCCGCCCCTTTAGCATATGCAGGTCCTCTAGCGTGCTTACCCACACTTGAATCCACGGACATCCAAACCGATGATATGTTTAGTTTTCCGGTCTTCGATAGCTTCCAGCTGCCCTCACAAGATATCATCATCCAGCTTACCAACCTCTTCTTCGAGCGTCTTTACCCTATGTTTCCCTGCTTCCACAAAAAGAGCTTCCTGTCTAATGTGGAAAGCGGCAGGCTACGGGACGAATCACCGATCCTGGTTTACGCGATTTGTTGTCTTGCAGCCAGATTTCATCCTGAAGATGCTATAAAAAAGCGTTCAAAAGACTGGTACGAGCAAGCAAAGTTCTGCTATAACCTCACCTGCCAAAACCCCGAACCAACTCTACGCACCATTCAATCTGTAATACTCCTCATGTTCCATTCCTGGACTTTATGCGACTTTTCTTCCAGCTGGTTGTTCCTAGGAAAGGCATGGCGACAGGCTGTTATTCTTGGTCTAAACGTAGATGCGGATGATGTGAAAACACGCCGGCCCAATATGCATGAAGAAAGGACGTCGGTCGGTAAAGAAGAGCGTCGGCGAACTTTGTGGCTGCTTTTCATGCTGGATCGAATAAACTCTTGGGTGACGGGCTGGCAGACCGCTATACCCGAGACGCAGTTCAAAGTCGACTTGTTGAAACCTGAATCAGTTTTTCAAGCCATGGATCCAGAATCGGATATGCTTCATTATTCCAATACGCCATTCACGCGGAACCTGTCTGATCTGATATGTTCATCGCCATCCGCAAAAGAGCCTCTGAATGTGCTACACTACTTGGTCATCGCGCATGTTCTGCTCGGCCGAGTCGCCGATTTGATACATTCCCTACACAACGCGCCTGACTCCCCCGAGTATGCAGAAGAATGCGCTAAGCTGGACAGCCTGATTATTAAATTCCGACTCAGCCTGCCCCGTCAAGCGAGTTCAGTACTAGCAGCACCGCCAGCAGATCGCCAGCAGGTGGTATGGCTGCTAATCACCTTGAATGTCATGACGTTGATACTTCATTACAGCTGCGAGGTACAAGGTTCGATTTCGAGTCTATCTTCCCCGTTCAGCCTCGCTGTTATTGCGGCTCAAAACGTCGCACAAATAGTTAAAGACGCATCGCGCATTTCGGTTGATCTACTGCTTTCCCCGTATATAGGTTCATCTTTGTACGTTTCGGCATACGTGCTCGTTATCCAGTGGCGCCAAAGCGGCGATCAAAGTGTCAAGGACGAAATCGACCTGATCACTCTAGTATTCGAACACATGTACGAAGACGAGAGTTTCCCCGGCCGGAAGCTCAAATCCGCGCTCGAAAAAGACATGAAGAAGAGCGAAGAGGAACTAAGAAACTCACAAAAGCGAGGTTTCAGAGGACTTGTGGCAGATTGTAATATGTCAGATCGTGTCAGGCAGGAAGTACAATACAGGGGACTGGAAATCAGCAAAGATTAAGCTGTGCTACTTTTTACATGTCACTAGTTACAGCAAAGGAAGTTATGATGTGGAACTAGCAAGATAGCGCCCACCATCGCTATTTACCTCTGCCCCATTGGCGAACCTATCCTTCATGATCCATCCGTAGGCTTCAGCAATGTCTTCTGGTCGACCAATCTCACCCAACAGGCTTGAACCCTGCTTGATCCCCTCAACCGCCTCAGCCGGAAGCGTGTCCAGAACTTTCTGAAGCAGCTCCGTATGTATGGCACCAGGATTTACGAGATTGACGCGAATCGGAACCATGTCTACTGCAAGACCTCGTGTTAGGCCCTCAAGAGAACCACCCAGGGCTGCCATCACAGCCCAGTCTGGCAATGGACGTTTCGTGTTTGCGCCGGCGGTCAGGATAATGGAGCTGTTGGAGGATTTGGGCATGTAGTCGCCGTTGACAATGAGTTTTGCCAAGGCGCATGGAGCAAGGAAGCGGACGGTAAAAGCATCGAACACAGTACTGATGTCCACTTGGGCAATATTTGCTACACGAAGAGAATCTCCGGGTGTGAAGGCAATATGGTCGATTTTCTTGGTCCCGTTTTCCGTTGCTTTGTCTAGCACTGAGCCAATGTTCCTTTCAAGGTTCGCCTTGTCGGTCAGGTCGGCGGCGAAGCCTGCTACGTTGGTAGCGGGCGTGTTTGGATACAGAGACCGCAGATGCTCGACTTTGGTGTCGACCTTGGGCTGACTGGAGCCTGAAATGGTGACTTTGGCGCCGTAGGAGAGGGCCATGTTGGCAATGGCGAAGCCGATACCTGATGTTCCTCCGAAGACGAGGACATGCGCGTTTGCAAGGCGGTTTTGGTGAGCCATTTTAGAGATGTCTTGATGAAGAGGGATATAGATATTGGTAGAGAAGTGCAAAGAATGTTGTAGTGATATCTGTCTAGTAGAATATCTCTACATTCATGACTTCTTTATACCCTATGTACCCTTTGCCAAGTTCCCCGAGCACAATTATCATTTTGAGTATAGCGAAGCCGACAATTGATCCACATCGGTCTTTCCGAGCCCGCTTGTCCATTATCTCCGACAACTGCGGGCTCGGCTGTATTATATAACGTATGGACGTATGGATGTATGGACGTATTGACGCGTTGATGTGTGGCTGTGAGGCGCCCCCGGGCGGCGACGCTAGTACTGCGGGAGCGGTACAACTGGGCGTTTAAACCACATACGCACCGCTACTAGTAGGGAAGTGACCTGACCGCATCTCTCATGCGTCATCTCTAGAACCCAGCAAATACTGCCACGAGGAACAAATGCGAAGAAGATATGGCCTGATTTTCCAAAATATAATATTCGAGTAGGGTAATTTTTTCTAATCTATACTCGGCTGCAATAGTCCTGGACAAGGAAAACTCTGTGACAACACAAGCATTTCTCTGAATACGCACCTGACTGTGATCCTCCTGGACAAAGAAGACTTTGCGGCAACGCGAGCGATTGGTGTTACCCAGTTCTTCAATTGACTAGGCTGCCCAATATCCAGACCACCGCCACCTAGCCAAGCTGAGGTAGGACCATTCGATGGAGCCCCGCCTACTATGGTTGCCTGCAAAGAGGCTAAAAAGAATGGCCGAGGCCGTGACAGATACCGCCGTCGCTCAGCCCCGAAAGAACATAGTACAGGGGTCTCGATCAGGTGCAACAGATGAAATTTGTAGTCCACTTGGAGTAACCTTGTTTTAGATTATTAGTACTTTACTGTTGAACGCAAGAAAAACATTTTACCTAATCTCATCTTTCTCTATACCATGCTTACCCGAGTATCTATGAGTCAGTTCGAGAAACATCGGAAAAGAATCTTTGATGGCGTATAGCTTTGCAGGAAGAAAATAGCATAGACTCGTAGTAAACACGTAGTAGTTGAGCCTTCGAATCGCTATCGAATGATATAATATAGGTAGAACGTTTTTGGTATAGAAAACCAACTAATTCAGCATTTATCACTTGGATTCGCCCCCCTATGTGTCCCTTTAAAGGTGGAAATAGGCAGCAAGCGATTTACTCTTGGCACTCAACCCAACGCCACCTTCCAATGAGTTGAATTGGGGCTGATTTCAGCGCAGTTGGTTAGACTAGCTGGTGTCTTAGCCAAGTAGAAACTAGATTTTGATTGCTGGTGACTGAATCAACGAATACAATATTTGGTAAATTCTAGTTGTTGACGCTTGGGTTCGCAGTACCACAACTTGCATGTACTAGCTGGGTGGTACATGCGAGATTGGACGTAGGAAGGAAGGCGGTGTTGTGGATGAGAATCTCAAGGTGTATGGTGGTCAGGGCTCAAGGGTCGTGGATGCGAGCGTTATGCCTATGGAGCCAGTGGCCCATATCATGGCGACCATGTATGCTGTAGCTGAGAGGGCTGCTGATATCATCAAGGGCGGGAAGTAGACGGAGGTGTCAAGATACTCTGAATTGGGGCCTTGGAAGATGAACCCCTCGGGCCTCAGTCATATCTGTAGAGTATATAGTCCCATCCTAATCTCGGGTCACTCGTCAAATATTTATTTCAATCCATTCACTCTAACTGGTATATTTCGTGCCTATCTGCCAAAGGATCTCACACTTTGAAGGATCTCAGAATAACCTTGCGTAGTGATTGACAGACCTTGTCTGAGTTTTGCAGAGATGGACTGATGGTCAATGTTGTACCTTGACCGAGCAGGCACCGCTCATACAGTTGCAACAATTTCTAGTGCTACAATCTTTTCCGTCGTGGCAGTGTCTGGTATCGCAACTGCCCCTAGGTTACACGACGTCGGCAGTCAAACTTACAGACAACCCCTAGTACAATCAGCCGGCCAACCAATCGGCAGCTAGTGGCCGACTATAGCAATACTCAACGCCAACGATGCTACAATAGTCGATTTCACGATTCTTGGCAGATATGCTTCGCTGCCACCTGATGATGCAGTCAACGGTCAAGGAGAAATTCATTCAAGAAAATCCATCCATAATAAACATTTGGTATACACGTCTCAAAAAAGACCACTAGACTACACTTCCCCAACACCAATCAAAGCTCATTATGCTCGGGCGCATCGTCCTCAACCTCCTCCACCTCGATCTTAACCTGCTCATGCACTTCCTCCTTGACCTTCTTAGGCTGTGCCTTCTCACCAGGCACCAGGAGCGAATCTGACAGCTTCTCCTTCTTGCCCTCTCCCATGCGAATAGCATCGACCCATTGCTCGACCTCCTGAAGTCCAAAGGAGGTGCCAGAGTACTTCTTGTACCACGCGCGCTTGCCGTTGGTGGCAATGAGGTGGACCTGGTCTGCGCTTCCGAGACTGAGTTCTGCAATCAAGGTAGCGGCCAGAGGATTGGTCGAGGCAACGCTGACAAAGGGGAAGAGATGGCTTCCGGCGACATCGTATTTCTTGTGTATAGAAGCGAGTGAAGCGACAGCGGTAGAGGCGGTTTCCGAGGTTTCGTCCTTGGGCAAGAGTGCTAGGATACATGTCTTGCTTTGGTCGGTCAAGCACAGCGATTGGAGCTCGGCAGATTCAGCAATCAAGGGGATAGTTGGCTTGAGTTCTTCCTCAGGAATCACAACTGGGTTTGGAGTGTCCTCGTCCTTGATGTTCGGATCAGGGGATTCCGTAGATTGCTCTACCGTCTCTTCTGTCGCTGATGCAGCAGCTGAAGAAGCTTCAGCATCCTTGTGAGCAGCCGAAGCCTTGGAGAATTTGCTCGAGGCCTTGGAATCCTTCTTGCTGTCCTTTTTGCCCTTTGCCTTCTTCTCTTTGGGAGGTGGGCAGTCGGGGTTTGGCGGGGCGACTTGAGACAGGAACTTGACCATGGCCGTCTTGTCGACCTTGCCCTCATGTTTGATGGGCGTGTCTGAGCCGGCGGGTATGAGGATCAGTGTGGGATACTCGGTAATGCCGTACTTTTCAACCGCTGCCTTCTCCGTCTTCTTAATCTGAGCAACTGAGACGATGCCAGAAAAGTCAATTGCTAGTGCCCTGAGTGTGGCGCTGACAACTCCCTTTTCGCTGAACAGAATAGCCTTGGCGCTGTCTTTGTTCTCTTGTAGCCATTCGTCCAGGTTCTTGTCGTTTACTCTCTTGACTTGATTGGGAACCTTGTCCTTGACAGTCTCGACGATGCCCTTGGCCGATCGAGGGCCCTGGTAGTCCTCAACTGTTGGCTTGCCGTATTTCTTGCTGGGACGAACAATCTTGAGAGTAGGGAAGCCCTGGACACCCATGTTTCCACAGAAAGGCTTATTCATCTCTTCGTCGCAGTTGACAGCGGCGACCTTGGCAATTCCTTGAAGCGACTTGGCCGCTGTTTCATAGGCAGGCTTGAGGTTCTTGCAGTGGCCACACCATGGCGCGTAGAATCTAGAGACGTAAGAATGCGAAGCTTGAACACGATGAATGCAGCTTACTCGACAATCTAACATTTTATTAGTCGGCGATTCTCAAGCCAGGTCGGGTACACTTACGGAGGTGTAGTTTGACTTTGCAATGACTCGGTCGTAGTCCACGCCGTTGATCGAGACGACGGCGCTGTTCTTGGGGTACATGCTCTCTGCGCGCGCATTGAGGGCCAGAGCAGCCGTAGCGGCGAACAGGGTCGATGTGCGCACCATGATTGAGGTGGTTGTGTGTAAAGTAAAGTGGAGAACAAGCAGGAGAAAAGAAGAGGAGCTGCTGCAGGGCTTATAGGTGTTCACCAGGCCTTGATGCCAGGTTGGCCTTTTCTTTTCATTTGCAGCAGCATTGCCCGTGTGTCTACCTGGCCAGAGCTGCGATGCGGGGAGACAGGGATGCTGCTACACACTAGCGCCTATGACCGCATCCTCCGCGCGCCGAGGGGAGCCTAATATCCATGTACTATATTCACCCCCTCCAAAACACCCACGTCCTGCACGCAACACCATCGCATATCCACAGCCATGGCCAGTGTCACTCCGGTCAAGCTCAAGAAGCTGCAGCTCGCTGAGCCGGCCAAGCGCGCCGCCCAGCTCGAGCGCGTCAAGCCCATCATGACCTACTGGCGTGAGTACCATTGTTGCTGTACTTTTACCCAGCGCGCGTACTAATTACCATGATTAGTGAGGTTCTATATGGTTCAGAAAATAATCGCCGGTGGTTTGCACTCGGCCGATCCAGAGTGCACCGCCTACACGACCGATCTCATGGAGAAACTCGAACAGGCAAAGGCCGAGAACCCTGGCGAGGAGGCCTTGGTGGACGACACCGTCGCAAGCGCTTACTGCGAGCAGTTTGCCCTCCAGACCCTATCCAAGGCGGAGCGCGAGATGGCTGAGAATAGAGTCAATGGGTTCGTCTCCCGCGCATGGTACAATGAGCGCCCAAGCTAACTGTCGTGGACAGACAAACAGTCGATACTCTGCGCGCAGCCTCCACATTCCTCGAGATGATGTCCGTCTGGAAGAACAACGACGCTGAAATCGCCGCAAAGACAAAGTACGCCAAGTACCACGCCCTGCGCATCCTCAAAGCTATCAAGGCTGGCGAAGATCCCAATACCACCAACCCCGTGCAAGAATCCCAACAAGCTGCATCGCCGCCTGCTCTGGATCCAGAAGACCCAGAAGTACAGCGTATAAATCAGGGCGCTCCACCGCAAAGTCCATACCAACCCTACGTCGAGTCGGCCCCAGATACCTCACAACCATCACCCAACTTCTCCGCTGCTCCAGCGTCGCCTCCTGCTCCCGATCTCCCTTCTGCGCCTACCGGGTACACACAGCCCTCGCATAGCGACGTATCTCCCATTTCACAGCCCGCCCAGTCACGGCAGGGTTCCGTCACTTCTATAGGCGGGGGGTATTTCCCGAAGACAGATCCTCCTACCTTCACAGGAGAGTCGGCGCCACCCGGTCTACCAACAGCGCCAATGGATCGCGATCCCTTGACATCTTCTCTGCCTACTAGTCCCCAAGCACCGCAAGCGCCTGGTCCATCGGATCCTGCGAGCTTCTACCAAAACCCTGCATCACCACCAGCCGCTCCGCCTGTCCAGAATACCTACCAATCTCCTCCGCAAGATCAATACGCACCACCACAGACGGGCGCTCTCCCGCCTCAGCAACAGTACACACCAACGCCGCACCAGAACCCATATGCTCAATCTGCACCGCCACCCCAGCCTTTACATCACTACTCCAATGGCCCTTTCAAGAATGACGAAGACTCCATTGCGCTGGCCCAAAAGCATGCCAAGTGGGCAATTTCGGCGCTAAACTTCGAAGATGCTGACACCGCGGTAAAAGAACTACGCATCGCTCTCAAGGCTTTGGGCGCATAAGGTTCGGATCGTTCACTCTGTGTGATCTGATAAATTTTCACGTATTGCATTTATGAAACTAATGACATTTGCCGGTTTGCTGTATACCCATGTTTGTGGACGTGTTGGAGAAGGATCAACGTCTCTTATGTGACTTGAAGGTAGATACAGACAACAAAAGGAATTAAAAGCGATTCTCCTGTCCATCAGACATTAGCGCTCAGTTTGTCTCACATGACCATGTTTACGTTCAAAAAAGGACCAACTCAGACGTGACATTTCAAACACAAGTACACCTGCAAAAAAAAACAGCGGGACTCATGAATCAGTCCTCACTGCTTCCGCCCTAGCATATGCCAAGACACGCGTGCACGTGCCCTTTAGCCAGAGCTTAAGAAATCCAGCCGAAGCTCACCTTCACTCCTCATCGACCTTCACAACACAAGGCCGAGCTGCATGTAGTCATGCTTCTGGGAAAGCCTCGCACAAGCTGTAACTCATGATACAGCGGCGACGATGGCGCCCATAACACCTTTCAATGCGGCGGATATAACTGAAAAAGCGCGGCGAGAGCTGCTTCTTCTGCTCGAAGGTGTAAGGTAATATCAGCGCCGCAACGTGCTGCCACATCTAACACATGCAACCAGATACGAGGAAAGAAGAACCTCGTGCTTGAGAAGACGCTTGCCGGCCCGCTGAATCTCCTTGTCAAGTTCTCGACGCTGCAAGAATATGGCGTTGACAAGCCCTTTTTCCTGGAGAACGACAACGTCGACTCCTCACAGCGCAACATTGTCTTCCTCGTTAGAGGCGAAAAGGCAAAGACTGTGATGGCTGTTGCTGGTAAGTGAAGCTTCTCGGCTTCCTTGCTTCACTCCTCACATGCTGCACAGCATGTTTTGGGTCAAAAAGTAGGCTAGGCAGATTTTTACCTACTCTGTCTGGCCAGTCTTGATCCCTAGAATAAACAAAGCGCTTTTATTGGATTGCCTATCTTCTATATAGGATCAGTCTATTGTACGGTGCTAACATTCTAGATAGATCAGATAAAACGTATTCGACGCGACAGCGAAATTGAACATGAATTCTCCATCTTCTGGGTTCCCCGCCGCACTTTGACGTCCGATCAACTACTTGAAGAAGCAGGTGTCCTGGGTGAAGCTAGTGTGAGCGAGTGGCCATTGTTTTTCGTGCCTCTTGCAGATGATGTCTTGTCGCTTGAGCTGGAAGATGCCGTGTCGGATCTGTACCTTGTATGTTGTATCCCATCGCCGCCAGACCTGAAGCTGACTATCTAAAGAGAAAAGACCCGACAGCCATCTATTTGTCAGCCAAGGCACTAATGCTCCAACAACAAAAGTATGGACTCTTTCCACGAATCATTGGTAAAGGTGACAACGGAAAGCGCCTTGCGGACCTGCTCATTCGTATGCGCACAGAGGTTGCGGCAAGCGAGACGTCTGCGGGCGGAGGGCCGTCGTTTTTGGGATTGACACCTAGCTCCAACATAGACAGCCTCATCATTATTGATCGAGAAGTTGACTTTCCTACCGTGCTACTTACTCAGCTCACATACGAGGGCCTCATTGATGAGGTCTTCAACATATCTGCCAATCAAACGGAAGTTGATTCTTCGGTCATTGGCGGTGTCACGCCTCAGCAAGGTCAGACGGGTTCGGCATCTACCAGCATGAAGCGTAAGGTCATGATTGATGCCAAAGACACATTGTACGCAGATCTTGGTGATGCCAACTTTGCCATCGTAGGCAATCTCCTCAACCAGGCAGCTCGGCGGCTCCAGAGTAGCACTGGGCGCGACCAGCTTGCCACGAAGACGACTTCAGAGTTGCGGGACTTTGTCGCAAAGCTTCCTGGTTACCAGGCCGAGCAAGCCAGTCTAAAACTACATACTAGTCTTGCAGAGGAGATCATCAAGTTTACACGTACCGACATCTTTACACGAAGTCTAGAAGTGCAGCAAAACATCATGTCGGGCGCAGACCCCACAACACAACATGATACTATTACCGAGCTCATCAACCGCGACGTACCTTTGCCTGCCATTCTGCGCCTACTGTGCTTGGAGAGTACAACAAACGCGGGTATTCGTCCGAAGGATCTCGAAAACTTCAAACGCGCCATCATCCAAGCCTACGGGCCACAGCACATGCTCACCCTCGCTTCTCTCGAGAAGATGGGTCTACTCGCCCCACGAGGAGGCGTGAGTCTCGGCGGCGTAGGCGCACCGGCAAAACCGGGCAGTGTAACCAACTACACGCCCTTGAGAAAGAGTCTCAAAATCTGGGACGACGATGTAAACGAGGCGAATCCAAACGACATCTCATACACCTTCTCGGGTTACGCACCCCTAAGTGTCCGTCTGATCCAATCAATCATTCAGAAACACACCCTAGCAAATGCCATCAAGCCCTCGACCGACCCTCGGGCGTCTGCTCAAGCAAATCCCCTCGCCCAGGGCCTTCGGATCTTCGATGATGCGACAAAATACATCCGCGGCGCCACGTTCGATGAGGCGCAAAAGGGCGAGGAAAAAGCCGTCAAAGCCAGACAGCTACTTAATGGTACCCAAGCCGAGAAAAACAAGACTGTAGCTGTGTTCTTCCTCGGTGGTGTGACCAGAGCGGAGATTGCGGCGTTGAGGTTCATCGGGAATAAGTTGAAGGAATCTGGGGGTGAGGGGAGGGGCAGTCGGATTGTCGTTTGTGCGACCAACATCATTAGGGGAGAGGAGTTGGTAGGGAGTGCGGTTGAGAAGAGGAGGTTCAAGGCGTAAGAGGGTGGTTTTAAGGGCTTGACGGGGCGTGGTTAAGGGGAGAATGAGAGGTGGTAATTGGTAGAACGAGAGCGGTTTGATAGGAGATTACTTGTGTGTTCTTACGACGATGCGTGTACACGTGTTCCCAAGTGCGAAGACAGTCCTCAAGAGTGGATAGCTGTGAACCCCCAACATTCAATCTTGATCATTTACTTCTAAACCTACACCTACTACGCCCCATTCATGCCCGAAATAGCGACATACATATGCATTTTCTGCCTCCATCTCTCCTCCCCACTCCTCCCCTTTTCTCTCCTCCTCATTACACATCCTCTCGCGCCCTCAGACATACACATTAACTACATCAACTGCACTTCTCAGAGCGCGAACCACCTCTCTTTTCGCAAATTTCAATCAGTCAAAGAAAAAAAAGAGTTCGGTAGGGCTGCGAATGTCGAAAAATTCGCGCGCAAGCCCACGTGGTATCAAGTACACTATACGAAGTGGAAAAGAAGAAAGAAAGAAAAAAAGAAAAAGAGAGAGGGAGAGAGCAAGCATGTCGAAAGACAGGCAATCTAAACAGCAGCTCTAGTAAGGACACGACACGGGAAAAGATGAAACTTTCTCCCATGGACCGAAAAGAGAGGGCAGCACCACCATGTGCGGTGCCCTCATGCAAATCATGCCAGGAATCTTCCGCCAGAAAAAAAAACATTGGCAAAAAGAGAGGGAAAAAGGCGGGAGTGCGCTATGCCCTCCATGCTCCCTATCAATCCACCAGAAAAGTTAAATTATTTCGCTTCGCTTCGTTCATCTTGATCCGAAACGTAACGGTGTCTTTTGATAGCTTGTTGCCTGATAAAGCCCAGACAAAGGTAACACGGAATGAACTCGTCTCCGTTGGACAAGATTCCGAGGCTGAAAAGAGAAGTGGCGAGAAAGTGTATCCTGTTCCGTTGAATACAACCGGGGAGATCCACCAGACCAATTACCGCCCACTTTCCAAATCGCTCATGTCATTAATTTTTTGATTACCACACTTCATCCGAATTAGAGTTTGCGATAGCAGGGCTCGACTTAGATGGCAGGTGCTTGTTGTGGTTTGGACAGAGTGCCAAATAGTTGCTCTGGGGGCACGCGTCCAACATTTCCCATGCGGTCGGTGTAGGATGTTGGGGCAGGGGCGTAGCCCTGTTGCTTCTTGCGGTACCACTCGATGATTATGCCAATGACGACAAGCAAGAAGGTCAGGACCAGTGCGATGGCGAGGCCGATCAGGACAATAGCCCACAGTGCAAGGTGGCTGGCTGTAAAATTGTTAGAAATGTCTAGTCTGGGATATGGTGAATAACTGACCTGACTTTAAGAAGAACGAGTTGGGGTTCTCCACAAAGATAGAAGACAAGCTTCCTGGCTCCGTCTGACCATCCTGACCCTTGGTGGCAAGCAGGAAGGGAATAAGCGAAGTACCGTTAAAGAGCACAGCGGATGCAGTTCCAAAGTCGGTGACGTTGATATGACCCATGAGGAGAAGATCCTGGTCTTGGTCGATGATCTGCGACGCATCATGATTCTGTGACAGAGAAAGAACTTGGATACCACGAATGTCGGTTGAAGCGCCAAACATGGCAGGGTTGGCGGGGATCCACTTGGATCCGTCGAACCTCTGTAGATAGGCAGTGCCATCGCTACCTTGGCCAGCGGCCCAGAATTGGTCGCCATTGCGGTTAGCGATGGTGAGCGCAGTGACTGGACCAGGAAGATCATTGGCACCAGGAATAACGGCATATTGACTGTTTGCAGAATCAAACGTGAGGATCTTGGTATGGTTGTTACCCGACGTAAGATTGCCCGCAATCAAAAGTTTGGTGTCACCAATCCAAGTCAACGACGAGACCTCGCCTTGGATACCATTTCCTGCCTGGTTCCACTGGTTGCGCTGAGTATTCCACATGCAGACTGCAGCACAGCTCAAGGCTCCAGCAGACTGAAATTGGCCACCGATAAAAATATCATTGGACTTTGGTCGTGGGGCAATGGCATTGACGGTGACGTTGATGCCCTGCAGTGGCGGCGGCTGAACGGGAGTAAATTCATTCTTGGTAAGATCATAGGCGACAACACCAGCAATGCGGTCATTTCTGAGCTGACCACTAATCACACCACCGGCGTACAAGATGTTGTTCAAGACGGCAACAGTGGCAAATGTGGAGTTGGCGTCCAGCTCGTCGTTGAAACCAGTAATCTTATCCGAGTCGTTACCATCGATGATGAGGACATTGGTGATGTTCTGGTTGTCTGCACCAGTTGTGGCAAAATGACCAGCAAGAATAGTCTTGTTCATGCCATTCTCCTTGTAGAAAGTGCCAGTGCGAACACCAGTGGTATTGAGGTTTTGTCCATCCACGATAGCTCGCTTGCGAAGAGAAGCCTGGCGTTGGGCCTTGATCTTGACAGGGAATGCCTCGAGCTCCAGCTGGTCTCCGCTTTGTAGCTCAGCGCTACCGCTCGCAAGGAGAGCACCAGAAGAGACAGATCCACCAAACCAACGAGAACTTCCAGGAACATCAGCAAACGTCATCAATCTACCCGACATGGCGAGGGAGTAGAATTCCAGGTTGTGCAGCCAGTTGCTGCGAGAGGGAACCCAGACTGCGAAATCGTTGACACTGGTGGCGGGATTGTTGTCGAAAGCATTGACTTGGCTGAAGAAGCCACTCACAGCAAGGACTTCTTCAGGTGTGTTGTCTGTAATGTTGAGTGAAAAGGGCACGAGATACAGCACAACACCCTCTACACCGGCACCAAGAGGCTTCCACTCGTTATTAGTGTATGCAGCCACACCACGCAGGCCAGGAGCACTGTTGTCTACCGTGTTGGTGAAATTGCCACCAACATACAGTGTGCTAGCGTTGTGAAACAAAGTCATGACCTGGTTGTTCAAGCCACTAGCTGAAAGGGCCGTAGGTCCCGTGGCGCCATCACGAATGGCAAAGATGTTGTTGCGGTTATCGGTAGTGTTGAAAGAACCACCAACGTAAAGAGTATCGTCACCTCTAGCCACACTCGTTACCAGAGCCTTCTCCCGAGGACTAAGGCTCGCACCAGCAGCGTTGATGACCGAATCCGAAAAGTTGTCTGCTTCTGCAGTCTGACCTGGCTTGTACTCGAAAAGACCATTCAGGTTGCCAGAGGTGGCCTTTAGTAGCGTGAAGCGTACTCTCTGTGCGACAACTGTCACGGGTGCTGGGCCTTGTCCAGCAGCAGGTTGGATGATGACTCGTGGAGGGGCGCCGCTAGTAGCATCAATGAAGCCATTGTAGACTTCATCGTACTTGTCAAAGTTGTTGGTTTGCCAGAGTTCGGTACTTTCGGTTTGGCCGCCTGCCACAGCCGTGACATTGACACGACCACGAGTGCCGCAAGTGCCGTCACCTTGGCATCCAGGCGTGAAGATGGTGACTGAGTAATTGCCGGACTGCTTGACATCAGGAACAAAGGTAACGGTTGCCGCATTGACGTCAATCGGGTTGCCTTGGAGAACGGTTGTGAGGTACTGGGAGTTGCTGTCATGTGAAGGAGAAACCTGCCATGAGCCTGTAGCGGTTGACTCTGACAGCGAACCGGTGGCGCCGCAGTTCTTGGGCTCGTTGAACTCGTTGACGGCATACGAATAGATGGCTACAGACGTTAGCGAGAGAAGTTAGTAAAGCAAGTAGATGCGCTCACCATCTTGGAAGAGCTCAATGCCATTCAGTCCAGCGCCAGCTCCATAGTGCTCGGTGATATCGATCCGGAAAGCGTTCATACCAACGACATTGACAAAAGTAAAGTCCTGGGCAGTAGTGTTGCCCTCAGGCAAGGGGCATCGAAGGTCGCAAAAGGCCTTTTGTCCGGTCTGGGGATCGGTATAGGTCAGGTTCAAGATGCCTCCAAGAGGAAGGGCGGTAAAGTGAAAAGTCTTGGTGCCACGGCCCTCAAAGTCGGTGTTGTACAGCTTCATACTGGTGGGTTCAAAGCCAAAACCAAACTCGGCCTTCCAGAAGCCATCAGCGCGGTCGGCCATGAGCCAGGTAGAGCCGGTGCCTTGTGTTGCGTAGTCGGCCTTGCAAGCAATGTTCTTGGGGTCTGTGAAGCCGTTGATCCCGGAGCTGGTCTGTGCCGAGATGCGTGCATTGGAGATAGGAATCACCTGGGTGTTGTTCTTGCTCGACACGGTCGAAGCATTGCCGCCCAGGCCGTTGAACTCGCCTCCAAATACAATGTTGTCGTTAGAGGCACGGGTGATGGAATGAATGGGGCCGTTGAAGCCGTGGAACGAGAGATCCTCCCAACCGTCCTTCCAGACCAGGGCGTTTGTCGAGTTGGCACCAGAAAGACTACCGCCAACATAGACGCGTCCGCCGTCTCGGTCGCAGTAGAGGGCATTCACGGACCCACTAAGGCCCTCGAGTGCTCGTATGTTGCCGTTTGTGGGATCAAGTAGAGCAATGCCTCCCGGCGTGGGCATGTTGTTGACGCCCGTAAAGTTGCCGGCGAAGACGACTCGTTCAGCGCCATTGACGGGCAGAGTGCACATGGCCTTGATGTCGGCATCGGTAACGTTGATGGTAGCAAAGACGCCATTAGGGTAACGGGAGAGCAGAGCGCCATTGCGACCGGGGTATTGCTGGCTTTGGCCTTGGTACTGGTAGAGCGATATTGAGTCAAAGTCGCCAGTAAAAGCTATGCGGCCCAAGTCTCCAAGATTAAGCGGAGGGACCGGGACGGGGTTGAAGGTGATTGCTGTTGCGGGCGAGGCGAGCAGCAGCGAAAGGACGAGCTTGCCAGCCCCTGTGCGCAGGAGGGCAGCGAATGAATCCCTCATGGCAGCAGTGGGTGGCGCGATGGACGGAAATAATACAGGGTCGTATGTGAGTGTCGGGGGGATGGGTTTAGCAGAGGGAGGTGGCCCGGTTCGGCATGGGCACGAGACGACGTGTGGCGGTGGTGATTACGGGGATGGTGAGGGTGAAGGTGAAGGTGATGATGATGATGGCGGCGGTGGTGACGTTAATTGCAGGCCGGTGGCTGAGGCGACGATGCGGCCGGTCGGTCGGTCGTTCTTGCACGCGTGCAGTGTGAGGCGTAGGCGGGAAGGAGCAGCCGGCGAGGGTTGCTTGGCGCGCGGTGAAGTAGAGACGTGGATTGGGGGTCCAGGGGGGGTGGTGGTTGTGTGATATTAGGTGCAGCGAGCTGCTTTGCTGGAATGCTGAAACGAATGACTGAGGTGAGGGGGAGGATGCGCGTGGGATCGAAGGGTGACCGCCCTCCCGCGCTGCTTTTTCGCAAAGGTACACGGGTGTTGTCAGAAGCAGGCGTGAGAGTCAAGGGGGGGGTGGGTGTGTGTGCCTTTCCTTTCGGGAGCGCCAGCAGCGACAAGTCCCGGGTGGGCCGATGAGGAGCGGCGTGATTGGCCGGCAGGCTCCTCGGCTAACGGGCCTGGGCCTAGTCTCGATGTGCCTAACGGCTGACAAGAGGCTGCTCCCAAACCATCCACCCCCAAACTCCCCTTTCGCCATGGATGCACGATGCAGACGCAGGGCAAGTGGACGGCGCCCAAAAAAGCTCATCTAAACTGCCGACCCAACCCTCCCGTCGCCGACATGCTTTTTCGCTGCGCCGCCGTTGTCTGGTCTGCCCGGCTTCCAGCACCGCGCCCCTCGCTCGCACATGGCCGCGATACTGTATAGCTGCTGCATGTCCTAATTTACCTTTGACAGCCTGCCGTCCCTGTCGCTGGGCATCATGCCTCCCGCCTACAGCCTCGATAGTCTTCGTGCGACAGCCCGACGCCGCCTGTGGCTTCTGTCATTGTCGCCTTTGCAGCATGCCGTCCGTCTTTTTCTTCTTCTCCTGTCATCTGGACTTTAATCTCATGGCGAGCAGCGATGGCCTGTCTCACTGCCTCACCCAAGATCAGGACAGCTTGGCATGGTGCCCCAGGCACCTGCTACTTTCGCTTGCCTGCAGGGTCACTGCCAGTTGAACCTAATGACCACACCATCACCACCGCATTCTCCTGCACCATCCTCGTCACTTGCAATACCCCCCCTCGACTCTTCTCCCTTTGTTCGCCCTGCATACATTCTTGCTTGCTTCTCCGCTTGGACTCGTCATTCTTACGACGCCTTGTTTCTGCCATGACGCACGCCTACCACTGATCTCCCTTGTCAACGGTAGACGGCGTGTTTCACATTCCAACGAGGCCGCCGCTCGGTCCCGGCTCTAGCAGATGCCGCCCGCCTTTTGGCCAAAAATACTCGAAGCTTTCTGCCCGCGTCCATGACTGATGCAAAAGCGTTGGCTGTGCTATTAGCAGTGGGTCTGCATCTCAACTGCACATGCTGACTGACTCAGCCAAGCCACGACCCAAAGAGTCGAGACGCGATTTATTATACATTAGACTACGGCCTACGCTACAAGAAATGCTTCACATGATATCCGTCTAATTCTAAATGTGCCCCATCAAAGTCTAGATGCTTTGTCGATGCTTCTCCCAAAACAAGTTCTATACCCCTCCCCGCATTACGGACTACCGCTCTTTTCCATATCCTTGACCTTGTCTTTGTCGACAAACGCCCTCTCTTGGTCCATGGCCCCATTCATATCATAGGCCTCGATGAACCAGCTGCCAATCATAGCCACCGCACTGAACACCAGCATGACGATCCAGATGTACTTTAATGCGTCCGTGTAGCTTTCCTTTAGTTGCTCCTTCATCTCTCCGCCAGGCATCTCCTTGATGATGCGAACCAGCCCAGCTGCGTCCTGAGAATACTCGTCCGCGAACTCGGCCAGCAGTGGAAACGTCAGCATCTTCTTCTTCATCTGGTTCTGGAACACGACTCCGCCAATAGCCACCCCCAGTGTCTGGCCGAAGGCGCGGAAAAAGGAAAACATGTTGGCAGCATACGCCTGGTCCGCTGCCGTCGCGCTGGCTTGCACGGCCAACGCCATGGCAGGAAAACTATGCAATCGTTAGGGCCTCTTGGTCCTCTTCATCAACAACAACTCTCACTTACAGGATACCTGTTCCTATCCCACCAACGAGACTGATAAAGATCCACGCTGGAGTCGATGTGTCGACTTTGATTACTATCAACACACCCATGCCCAGAGTAGCAAGGAACCACCCTGCCCGGTTGGCCCATCGGTACGTGCCCAAGATGGCAATAGCAACACCCGTCGCAATCGAAGCCGGAGCCACCGTAAACGTCCATGGAAACAAAGCAACTCCGGTAAGAATTGGTCCAAATCCCTTGACCGCTTCAAAGTACAGTGGTAGGTAGTATAGGATAGCCCACAAGATAATGCCGTGGATTACCGTGGCAGTATAGAGAATGGCAGCAGACCGGTTCTTGAAGACAGAGGTGCGAATGAGCGGGTTGGCAGCCACAAATTCAATGTACAGGACAAAGCCAACCATGCCAGCACCACACACAATAAGCGGCACAAGCGTGCGCCACGAGTCCCACGGATACTGCACCCCGCCCCAAGTAACGGGAATTAAGAAGCCAGTGGTCGAGGCGAGGAAGAGCGCCATGCCGATCCAGTCCACCTCGCGGAGTTTGGCTAGGAAAGCCCCATGCTTCTGGTTGAGCTTGAGGAAGATGGTGATCATGGCAGCGCCAATGCCAATGAACGGGAGGTTGATCCAGAAGATCCATCGCCAACTAACGTTTTGTGAAAAGCCGCCGCCTAGTGTCGTTAGCTACTGTCCTTTTGGATCTGTACTGCATATTGCTTACCGAGAAGAGGTCCAGCTACGGTACCAATCGACCACATAGCACCAAAGAAGCTAAGCCACTTTCCTCGCTCCCGCAGAGGCACAGTATCTACAACCACCATTTCTGTGAGACAAATGATACCTCCGCCTCCAATACCTTGGATAGACCGCCCGACCAGGATGAGGGTGAAATTGTCAGCCACAGCGGGGATAATGGAACCAACCAGAAAGAATCCAAGACTGATGTAGATCAATGCCTTTCTCCCAAAGATATGCGAAAAGGATCCAATCACTGGCTGGAAGACAGTCGACGTCAATAGGAACGAAGTACCACTCCAGAACGCCTCGATAGCAGAACCGCCCAATGCCCTAGCCATAATCTGGAGACTGTCAGTTATCCGATACTCTGCATCTTTCTAGATTGTACAAAACTTACTGGAAGAGCAACGGAGATGGAAGTAGCATCCAACGCAGCCATTAGCGTTATGATACACAGACTACCAAAAGCAGCTAGAAAGCGCCATCCCGGCTGGAACTTTTCCGCTTCTACTGCATCGGCCTGCTCGGATGCCGCCTCGCTCACAGGTTCTGAGATAGGCGGCGCAGGCTTAACCACGTCCTCGGGCGGCTGTACCGACGCACTCGCCATGACTCTTGTCGTTGAGCTTTGGTGTGAATATGGAAGAGGGAATCCGAATTATACGTATATACTACGCACGATATCCTCGAAAGCTAGAGGAGTAAAACACAAGAAGCCGCCGAAAAAATATACCAAGTGCTACCTACCCTCTTTACAAGAGCGAGAGCAACCACCATAAATATACACACACACTATCCGTTCTACCACTCACTCGTTCTTCCTCTATCACAGGGCGTAAAGCCACAACACACACACGCCCATTCCTCGGGGCGGGCGCACAGTAAGACCACCCAGCCACGAGCGCGACCTCTCCTCGGCCCAACTTTGTCCTCCGTTCCATCCCAAAAACCCACTACTTGCCCAGCTCACCACCTTAGTTCAGCCTCAAAGCTGCAACCTCCGTGTGTATTGCCTTAGTGATGGCCTGCGCTCTGCCTTCACAACCTAGCTGTACGCACCGCTTCTTTGCATGCCATCTGCCTAATTCACGTTGTTCAATTGGCTTATCGCGCCAATCTAGGAGAATTGGGCAATCCGACCGTTGATGTGTTTCGCCCAGTCATGACGTGGTGTGAGCAAGCGGCAGCCGCATTGCGCGCGCTAAGGAAAATATGCGGCGTCGCCCTTTGCTGGCGAACCGGAGTGCTGTGAGACGGAGGGTTATTTGCCCGAGTGGGAAAGTCGGCGCGGGATGCGAGACCCCGACGGGGGTGGCCTTTGTCCGGTTTGTTATCGTTTCTGCCTGCGTCGGTGGTGTTGTATCTACAGTACTGATGAATAATTATAGAAACAGGGAACCGTTGACGCGTGCATGGTACGAAGTTCGCATCCTTCATCCAGGCTTTGTATGTATGCAGTAACACCTCATAGCCCTACGCCGTGCAACTCTCGCCTACCAACACACACAACTTTTCCCATCAGAGGGGCTAGAGCACCATTCTGGCCCCCTCACCCGATTTCTGAGACGCAGCAAAAGTGCAAACGGTGCAATATGCACCTATACTGTATACAACACGCCACATGGCTTACCGGGCGATATGAGAAAGCACATCAAGCGCATCTTTGTCATCGCTCCTGCACGTCAGAGTTCGAGATGTAGGGATAAGCGATAGTATGCTCATGGCTTGGCTGAGCATTGCTACTACTATCCACCCAGCTGAACGGCAACAGGGTACACGTGGTTGTAACTACGACGTTCTGGATGGTAAGGCTAGTGGAGCAGCCTCCTATCCACCGCTTGGCATGGACTTTTCTCCCATTTTCCTGATACGTCAGTAAGTGGGTGTGGAATTGGCCAACCACACTCCTCCATTCCTCGCGTCCTCACAGGTGAAGGTGAGGGTTGAATGGTAGCAGATGGGTGTTTCACATACCGAATCGCCATCTCGACCGCTGGTAACCCATCTGCCGGCTCCCGGCACTGAAACGCACACCGGCAAACACACCATGCAGCTAAAACGTCCACCACCACCGGTTCCCCGCATATGTTTACCCTCAGGTAGGGAGAAAACACCCCTGGGGTTTCATGCCAGTTTGTATTGTTGACCCTCCTTTCTTTTTGCTTCTAGATTCATGGCCAAAGTAACGAAGTGAGGAAAGCCTTACAATCGCCACCGCGGAAACATCACCGCGGGATTCTTTCAAAACATGCTTTTTTGAACTGAGGGTGTCCTGTCGAAGACTGTGAGACTTGCCCAAGCTTCACTGTTCAAATGCCTTCTGACAGATCGTTCATGTTGAATTGGCTGTCATCTAATAATTGTCATGGCAAGTCGACTTTTGCAGACTGCCAAAATTTGACATTCTTTCCAATGTAATCGGCCCGCCACTCTATGCCTCCACGGAGATGATCATTGTTATCGCCTAGAATCACTTCATCGAGCTTCTTTTTGAAGCCTTCGTTTTGTCTCAAGATGCACAGGAGATTTTTGTGTCTTGAATTGACTGCATATCCTGCATGTCAGGTTGCTTGACTCAGATATATGGCCAGTCTGCTCGGCCTGCTCTAGTAAATCACCGATCCATTATTTTGGAGCTAGTGTAGAAAAACAATGCCTCAACTAACTGCTACACGTCAGCATATTCAATCAATTTCCAAATGATAAACTCTTACAGAAGGCAGTAATCAGTCTCCTAAAGATTTGTGTCTAAGAAAACTCAGCGACTGAAAAAATTCTTACAAATAAAACATGTATCTAATAGACAATAGGCCATGAAAGATGCTGTTAAAATTCAAGAATCGATCCGTATAGAACATGAGTATGCGGATGAAGTACTGGTACCTTTTTTTTTTCAAATCTCCCCGTTGTACATCTTGCCGATGTGCTCTGCCTTCTCTAAAGTCGTAGACAGTGAGCACTATATGCATGCAAAACATGTGATATACAGCACAACATAGTTTCTCGTCATCTAGCCACCTGATCTTGACATCTTACTTAACAAAAGCCATAAGTTTCCGGAACAATCATCACACGTGAACGTTGCTCCCAGACTACGATTCCGTACTTATCAACAGTATTGATTTTTTTTTTAAAAAAAAAACAATACTCACCTATCCACATGAGCCCAACTTACTGCCCAAACAGCGCCAAAAACCCATTATACACCAAACTCCTCTCCTTCTGCGTAATCGAACTCACATCGCCCGTACCTGTCCAATAAAACAACCCCCCAAGCCCATTCTGCCTTACATAATTCGCCTTCATCCTCACCGTCGCCGGCGTATCATACGTCACCAACCCACCATCCCCACCTACACAATACGCCGCACCCAGCTGCTCATCCACATGCTCCTGCGCGCCCGGCCTGGGCAAGTCGCGATACTCAAACGTCCCCTCCTCGCCGGCCTGGCCCTCGAACGAATGCCCGATACCCCTAGTGCCCGTGAAACTGCGGCCGTAGGCGGGGACGCCCATGACGATTTTGTGGCGGGGCACGCCTTGGCTGAGCATGTAGGACACGGCTGAGTGGCAGGAGATTGCGGCTTCAGGGCAGTGCGGGACGGGCGGGGTGAAGAGTTGGGCTTGGTGCCCGCATTTGCTGACCCAGGGGCCCGAGTAGTCGTAGGCCATGAGGTTGACGAGGTCGAGGTATTGGGATGCGTAGCCGAGATTGATGTGCTGGAGGGCCCATTCGCCGGCGGGGAGCGCCGAAGATAGCGTGTATTGGGGGGCGGGGAGGTATTGGCGGATTGTGGCGAGGAGGGCGATGTAGTCTTGGCCTTGGCTGGCGTCTGCTGGATGTTCCCAGTCGACTGTGTTTTTGCTTAGCGATTTCGTGGTATTTTTTTTTGGGGGGGGGGGGGGGGGGAACAGACTGTCAATGCCGTCGATACCGAATTGCTGGACTAAAGCCAGGGATGACTGTGCAAAGCGCTCACGACATGCTGGATCGCGAGCCACGCCTGCAAACGGTTCACTTCCTTTTCCGCCGCCACCGACAGAGAGGACTACGCGGAGTCTCGTGTACTTCTTCTTAAGAAGTGCAAACGAGTTTAGACAGCCCTTTGTTGCAGGTATGTCGTCGATGCCTGGGACATCGATTTGCGTATCTGCCCATTCATCGCTCAACTATTTAAAAAAAACATTAACTTAACATCCACTCAGAAATAGATAAATAAACTTACATACACCGTTCCATCCTCCTTAACCCTGTCCGAACTTAGCACTCAACTACCCGGCGAAATCCGAAATACCCGCAACCTTACCAAGCAAACGCATAAAACACATGCGAAATGACGTCGTAGTTCAGCGACACAGGTGGCTGCTCGCGATAGATTCGCCAGTTGGGATAGTACACGCCGTTCCAATGCATGGTTTGCAGCGGTGTGGAAAATGTAGTAGTGGTGTTGTGATCAAGTAGTGGGTGGTGGTTGAAGTAGTAGTCTCGGCTCATTGTTCGGTTCGTTTTCGTTCAGGCTTTAAATGGCTTTAGCTTGCATACGCGTCAGGGTGTGCTGCAGGTAAGAGGAGCCCCGTATTTGGTTTGCTTGGGATGATCAAAGCTTTACGGGTACTCGGAAGGGCTGCACGATTTGTTTGGTGAAGAATATTGTGCGTGTGCGAGGTATTTGTCTAGGGCATACGTGGGGTTCGGGTATGTAATGGAAGATGCAATTTGTTAATGTGTGTACTTTGGCAATAGAAGATGGCGGATGGTATGGTTTCAAATGTCTGAAGAGATTCTAAAGCGTCCGTCTACACGGTCTTGTATATACATGTGAGATAGATAGTAGCGGTGTTACAGGCCGCTCAATGATGCAATGAACTGGTGGTTGCATTAGATATTAACGGACATCCCGCTTAGCCTGAAGCAGGTGATGTCTTAGCTGCCGGACTTGCTATAGTTGCTTCTGTTTTTACAACAAAGTAGACGGTGAAGCCCAGTCTGGTGCTTGAATAGATTGCGAATAAACTGATTGTGTTGGTTAAGATCTATGAATAGTGCGAGCCAGAGTCGCTCGTAGGTCAGGCCGCAATGTCCCGGAATACTATGTTCTCGTGATTTGAACGCTGACGCGCTAAAAAACGGCTTGGAAAGTTTAAATCTAACCGACTCGAATCTAATGTGTATTTGTAAGAAGAGGTGAGAGGGTAGTATTGTACACCCGAGAGAAGCACCCAAGAAGCATCCGATATCATGTCGAATGATAGAGGATGCACGCAATAAACATCATACGCAGACATTTTTCTGGGCAAGGAAACATTTGGTTATGAAGGTATTCATAAAGGTGCGCACACCTGTGTAGAAAGTGTCAGCAAGCCTCCAAAAAACGAGGTAGAGGCTGTGGCGCAACATAGGTGTGGGGTTCCAAGGCTGTGCCAGCTGTACCACTCGGTTCGACGGCACGCGCAAATTCTAGAAGTCGCTGATGGGCCAATGTGAAAGAAGGACAGGGCGCTAGAGTGGGGCGGAGGCGCTGTGCAAGACTGATCTGGTAAGTTGCATGAGAGTTGCAGGTACATGGAAGAGGATGTTGGATGTTGTAACCTCCGCTGACAATCACGTGATTGCGCGCTCCGACGAACCGTTTGCGTCAGTCCGACTGCAACTACATACAGCTGTGCTCCAGCCACAAACACCCACCCCACATAACTACCAGGCTTACACTGAAGGTTCGGAATCGCCTATTGTATCACAGCTCTGCCGGCGCACAAGAAAGCACTCTATATCACAAACATATTGCGCTATAGTATATCAATTGTGATCGGGCGCATCAGCTACCAGAGCGCAACGCGAGGCAACTCCCCCACGCGTTGCAACAAAGCACACCAATAATGACAGAAGTCATGACATCTGTAGCGGCTCCGATGTCAGAAGAAAAACCCGCCGAGGCCCGGCCGCCCCAATATACCTTCAAATTCAGCGAGTTTCTCAGACGTGAATACCGATTTGGCCTAAACCCTGATCGTCCAACCTGCAAAGCATACCTTCAAGGCCACTGTCCAGACGGCAGCAAATGCCCCAACAAGCACAATGTCTCTTCATCCTACAACAAGTACGTTACCCAGTAGCCCAACTCCAATATCAAACACCAGCAACTAACCGAACATAACAGTCTCGTATGCAAACACTGGCTCCGCGGCCTCTGCAAAAAAGGCGAAACCTGCGAATTCCTCCACGAATACAACCTCCGCCGCATGCCCGAATGCTCCTACTACGCACGCACACAAACCTGCTCAAACGGCGACGACTGCCTCTACCTGCACCTAGACCCGGACGCCAAGCGGCCCTCGTGCCCACACTACGACCGCGGCTTCTGCCCGCTCGGCCCGCACTGCGCGCTCAAGCACAACAAGAAAGACAAGCTGTGCCCCTTTTACCTCTGTGGGTTTTGTCCAGAGGGGAAAGGATGCAAGTACGGTGCCCACCCCCGGTATCCGACTGAGCTTAAAAAGCCCGAGGTGAGGGTGGAGAAGAGTGCAGAGGAGCTGGAGGCGGAGAAGTTGGAGAGGGAGAGGGAGATGATGAAGAGGGAGGAGGAGGAGAGGGAGAGGGATGAGCGGAATGGGCATCAAGGTGGGCGTGGGTTTAGAGGGAATTGGGATCGGAAGAAGCGGGGTGGTAGACGGGGTAGGGGTGGTAGGGGACGTGGGGAGTTTTAAGTGCAGATGTACAAGTGGCTGGGGAAAGATATATATATATATATATATATTGTTTATCTAGCGAGCGTTGAACTGTCTCCCTTTGTAGTAGTTCGACTTGTTTTATGCAGCGGAGAGGATAACTAAATAGTTGGAATAACACGAAGATACACGCCAACTGATCCGATACTGTAAAGTCGAGTTCAATATTACAATATGAAAGACATGGCGGAATTCTTTTCGAGAAAAATAAATAAATAAATGAATATGATTGACGATCGTTATCCATACAGTAGGACATACAACCCATTACAAAAATCCCCCCCCCCCTTTTTCCTCCTTCCCACACTCCTACCTCCTCCTAAACTTGGACTTGCCCAAAACCGGTCTCTTCACCACCCCTTCCTCCTCCTCACCCTTATTCTTCTGCCCACCCATCTTCCTAACCACAGGCCCTGCCTCCTCCTCGGCAACCCTCCGCTCCTCCCTCTCCTTATCCTCGGCCATCTGCCTCTCCAACTCGGCCTTTCTGTTAAACTCCGTCTCGACAATCCTCTTATCGCGCGCCGAATACCCCTTTTCTTTGATCGAGTAGAAGACGGCGCCGAGGTCCGCCAGCCAATGGGGGTCTACAGCCGTAACGCACGACATGTATTCTTTGGAGGTGAGGATGAGTTCGTGGTAGACGACGTAGTCCGGGAGGTAACCGAGGCCGTAGAGGGCGGAGGTGGGGTGTAGTTGGATGGTGACGGAGGTGCGGAGGTTGATGTATTCGCCGATGCCTTTTACTTTGGCGGCTTGGTGGTAGTAGCCTGAGCAGATGCATTTGCGGATTACGTCCCAGTCTGTGCCGCAGGAGATTAAGGGCATTTTCTGTTTTCCCATTATGTCGAGGATTTGGTCGCGGATTTCCTTGGCGCGGCGCAGGGCTTTGGGGTGAAGGAAGTGGCGGATACACCAGCCGTCGGAGTAGCCGTTTACTTTCCACTGTGTGTAGACGTGGAGGAGGGTCAGGTGGTCGGATTCTGGAACGAAGAATTTTTCGCGGGCGGCGTCGGATTCTTCTTGACGTTCTTTAGGGCGGTAGAAGACCGAAGGAACGGAGAGCATGGCGACGATTGTGAGCATTTCTTCGCTGCATTCGTACTCTGTGGCTGTGATGATGAGTTTGGCGAGGGAGGGGTCCATGGGGAAGGCTGTCATGGTTCGGCCCAGGTCAGTGAGGTTGCCAATGTTGTCGAGGGCGCCGAGGGCCCAGAGATCAAAGAGTGAGGTTGTGATTGTGTCTTGAGGTGGTGGGTCCATGAAGTCAAAGTCTAGCAAGTCCTTCACACCGAGCGACTTCAATAGTAGGACCGTGTTGGCGAGGTTCGTCCGCTGGATTTCTGGTATTGTTTGGATATAGAACTCATCTCTGAACGCTCTTTCGGTATATAGATGAAAGCACTTTCCAGGACCTGTGCGTCCAGCGCGACCAGCACGTTGTGAGGCGTTTGCTTGAGATATGGGCGTGATCTGTAGCGTGTCCATGCCCATTTTAGGGTTGTAGACTTTAAGTTTAGAAAATCCAGCGTCGACCACGTACATGATACCATCAACAGTCAGACTCGTTTCGGCAATGTTGGTTGCTACGATGACTTTTCGTACACCTGGAGCTGCTCGCTCAAAAATCTTTGCTTGCAGATCGGCAGGCATCTGACTGTAGATGGGAAGGATGCTGAGTTTCGGCGGGTCGTTCAAAAGTTTGAGTCGCTCTGCAACAAGTTCGCAGGTGATTTCAATATCCTCTTGACCTGTCATGAAGACTAGAATATCGCCAGGTCCTTGCGATACGTGGATGGCCAAGACTTGCTTCACAGCACTGTCGACGTAGTCCTCGCACGGCGATCGTGAGTACTGAATGTCTACAGGGAATGTTCGTCCTGGGATGATGAACTCTGGCGCACCTCCGTAGAAGCGTGAGAATCGATCTGCGTTCATAGTAGCCGAAGTGACGATTAGCTTAAGATCTCGTCTTCGAGCCAGGACCTTTTTGAGAAGGCCCATCAACACGTCAGTATTAAGGGCTCTCTCGTGCGCTTCGTCCATGATGATGCAAGAGTACTTGTCTAGGTCAGGCTCAACCAGGGATTCTCGGAGCAAGACACCATCAGTCATGTATTTGATCTTGGTTTCTTTGCTAGTGCAGTCTTCGAAACGAATCGCATAACCAACCAAACCACCCAGCTTGACTTCCATTTCTTCGCTCACACGCTTCGCCACACTCATGGCTGCGACACGACGCGGTTGTGTGCAGCCAATAAGCCCATTTTTGGCATAACCATCTTCGTAGAGGAACTGAGTCAGTTGGGTAGTTTTTCCGGAACCCGTTTGGCCGACGACAATGATTACTTGGTTGTCTCGAATCACGCGGAGCAAATCTTCTCGAACGGCAAAGGCGGGAAGATATTGCCTCTGTTCTCGGAGTGTCTTGCTTTTACTGAAAGCGCTAGCACCTTCCTGCTTGCTCAGGTGCTGTGCAAACTTGCTACCGCCCTGCTTCTCCTCTTCGTCAGGACCAGGCGCAGCACTGTCTGTGTCCTCTTCTTTGATGCCCATGATATTGCCCAGTGTGGTTCCTTTTGCGCTAGTGGCTTCCTGCGTCTGCTTTGCCCGTTCTTTCTGTTGCCGCTTCTCCTTGACCACGCGACTGCCACGCCGACTGAAGACTGCCATGTCACTCTGAGGATCTCGTACTGCCGGGACTGGGTCGATTTGCTTGGTAAAGACGGTTTTTCCGTCAAGAAAGGGCGGTCTGAGCTCGTGTACAAGGATATGTACGCGCATGCTCTCTTCGTCGTCGTCAAAGTCATCATCGAAATGTCTTCTTTGGGCGACTCCAGATTGGAGCATTCGATTCGTCTCCCACGCATCGACGTCCTTTTGCTTCTGCTGAGCCCTCATGCTCGCTCGGTTGTTCTGTTTCTTTTCTGTCAAAGCAGCCTCCCGTTGTGCATCTAACCATGAGCTCTCAGCACCGCCAAATGGGTTATGCGTATCATCACCAAAGGTATGTCCGTTCTCCTCACCGCCATACCAGTCGCGGTCGAGTGCCATTGAGTCGAAGTCGTCCACGAGGGGTTCGGGACCGTCGAATGATTCCTGAGCCGGTTGTGCGCCATCTTCGTTGGCTTTGGGCGTATGCGCGCGTGAAGACGCGGGCTTGTTGGGTTTGCGAAACTTTGGACGAGGCGCGATCGAGTATTCTTCGGGGTCAAGCTTTCGCCGTTTGGGGCTATTTCCGCGTTCCATCGTGACGACCAAGACTCTGGGTGCTGATTTTGACAATGGTATACATGTATAGTAGGGCGTAGACTCGGCGTGGTGTTGTTGGTGCTGAGATGGCGGGAAAGTTGATGCTCGGAGGTCCGCAATTATCGATAGGGCGGGAGCTTTAGTAGCCAATCGTTGCGGGGCCGCCCAAAATTATTTCCAACCTGTGAAAAAGTTCCCCACGCAACTTGCGCTCTCACTGCGCATCTTCTCACACAATACGGCAACAATGTCTATGATCACAGCGACGACATGGGTACCGCGCGGCTTTGCAGCGCCTTTCCCTACCAGGTACCAATTCGACGAAGAAGAATATGAGCGCATATCGAAACTTGCAAATCTCCAGTTGGAAGACGCCAAGGAAGAACTTGAAGAGGCGCAAGCTGAGAAAGCCAAGAGCAACGGAACTTCGAGCAAAGCAGTGAAAAAGGATGATGAGTGGGTGCGCTGCTTATGATGCAATTGGTTCAAAGCTAATTATTTGAAGCGATGATGACGACGACCTCAAAGAATACGACCTTGAGCACTACGACGATGAAGTCGCCCAGGATCAAGGCGACACCATGGCAATGTTCGGCAACGCAAAGAACCTAGTGTTTCACGAGAACGACGAAGATGACCCGTACATTACTATGAAGGGCGGAGACGAAGAGGATGAGGAGGACCGAGAAGAGCTACAGATTTTGGCCACAGACAACCTGGTATTGGCTGGCAGGATAGAAGACGAAGTTGCACATTTGGAGGTCTATGTGTACGAGGACGAGGACGACAATCTCTACGTGCATCACGATATTATGCTGCCTGCCATCCCCCTGGCTGTTGAGTGGCTAGATCTGCCCGTGGGCAAGTCTGTGGGTACCAGCGAAGGCAAGGGTAACTTTGTGGCCATCGGCACTATGGACCCGGACATTGAGATTTGGAATTTGGACGTGGTGGACAGCATGTACCCAGATGCGGTACTAGGACAAGGTGCCGACGATGCGATAAAAGCCGACAAGCCCAAGAAGAAGAAGAAAAAGTCCAAGAAGGCCAACGATGAGTTCCACGTTGACTCTGTGCTATCACTCGCGGCCAACCGTCACCACCGCAACTTGCTTGCGTCGTCGTCGGCTGACAAAACCATCAAGCTGTGGGATTTGAACACGACCAAATGTGCAAAGTCATACACGTATCACACGGACAAGGTATGCTCTGTGGCATGGCACCCTGTCGAGTCTACTGCGCTTCTGAGTGGTAGCTACGACCGCACCGTGGTGGTGGCTGACATGCGTGCACCCGAGGCAAAAGCACCACGGTGGGGCGTTGAGAGTGATGTCGAAAGCGTACGGTGGAATCCTCACGATCCGAACTATTTCTATGTAAGTGTTGCAAGGCCAAAACTTGATGATGCGGCATTAACCCTTGTCAGGTCTCGACTGAAAACGGCATGATACACTATCACGATGCTCGCAACGCACCAAAAGATGCGTCTGCCTCAAAACCTGTATGGGTACTACAGGCCCATGACGAGTCCATTTCGTCGTTTGACATCAACCCGGTGATACCTGGTTACTTGGCCACGGGCTCTACAGATAAGCAAGTAAAACTGTGGAACATTCAAGAAAGCGGGCCGAGCATGGTGGTGTCGCGAGACTTGGGCGTTGGCAAAGTCTTCTCCACATCCTTTGCCCCTGATAACGAAGTGGGTTTCCGACTGGCAGTGGCCGGAAGCAAGGGCGCAGTGCAGATTTGGGATACGAGCACCAATGCAGCGGTGCGTGCAGCTTTTGCCAGCAAGGTGCCTGCAGTTAGGGGAGATGGCAAGGAGCGCCTCGTGGGCCTGGAAGAGGAAGACACGGATTCAGATTCGGAAGAAGGAGAGAGCAATGACGAGGAAGGGGAGGATGGCGATGACAAAGGATGGGAGTCGATGGAGGAGTAGTAGGCAAAGATACCCTGGGCGACGAGAAGCTGGGCAGCGTACCGGAGATTTGGGGATATGACGATGTTTGTGTGATTGTGAACCGACGAGTTTTGACCTGGCGTGACGAAGGGCCATTGTGAAGCCTTTTGGCGAAACGCAGGATAAGGTGTTTAGTCATGTTTCCTCGGATAGACAGGTCCGTGGGCGTTTCATCAAGTGCCCGAATCCCCGATCTCTCCGCCCTTTGTTTTGCAAGTCCCTTTCATCTCACCTGACTCGCATAAACTTGCATGGCTTGGTGATGGGTGGTGATATCGACGTCAGTATGAACGATGGCAGAGGCTAACATTAGTTTTTTTTGGGTAGGCGCGGGACCCTAGGTCAGCAGGAGACGCGGGGGGGCAAACATGGCTTGATGGCGGACCAAGTGTTCCCACAGCTGGCGTAGCGGATTGTACTCGAGAAGCGAAGACAGGTCAATGCTGGCGTATAGCGGCAGATCAACGTTCGCAGGCTGCAGTCGGAGAGTGGCTTCCGGGTGTGGGTCCGCCTGAAGTGAGGTCTCGGTCTGGCTCGATGGCCTCATTCCTGGGACCGGATTAGGGCACATCCTCGTCAGACTCGGTCCTGCCAGTGAGGTTTGAAACTCTGACACCGGCCATGGCAGAAGTACAGGTCGGACGTGGGGTCGCTATAAGCAGTAAACGAGGGAATTGGGTTTAGCGGGAGGGAGGGAGCTCGCTTTGTACGCGCGCGCTCAGACGTGTGTGCGTGTGTGTGTGCCGACGTTCATATTAAGTGTAGAGTATGCAGGTAGACGCTTTGGGTCTAGAGTAAGCAGCCAACAGAAAACCGTGTGGGTGCGCGTCCGGTGTGGGCACAGCGGAGACTAATTAGAGTTTTGGGGGGGTGATGGCATGGGAATAGACAAATTGCGTACTGAGGCAAAGTGGGATTGTGGCCAACAGCGATTCGCGGATAAAAGCGCGCGGCGTGCGGCGTGCGGTGGGCGGCAGTGAGGGAGTATTGGCGACGCTTTTGGAGCTTCATTTCAGCTGTCAATGCCATTCTGGCTGGAGCTACATGCGCAAAAGGGCTGTGGGCGGGCGAGAGTGGAGCGGGAGGGAGTGTTCCTGGGCTGCATTGAAACAGCGAGTCCTCTCAAGGCCCCAACCGGACGCGGTGGATGGGGTGAAGAAGCAAACAGGAGAATAGGCCCGGCTTAACCTGAGACGCTGAGCACGAAGCGACGCCCGCTGATTGGACGCCCGCTCGAAACGCACGGGGCACCAGTGCAGGGTCCGGGGCGGTGCAGGCTACCAATCTTTCGGAGACAGCGCAAAAAAGCCCAGCCCGTCCTCCCTGGCTGCCCTCCTCTGGTCTTTTCAAGAAGCCTGCCCCGTCCTTGTCGCTATCGCTGCATCACGCGCCCTTCTTCGCTGCCTTTCTCTCCTCCCTTTTTGTGCCTTACGCGCCCACCAAAACCCATTCCTTTGCGCAGCCCGGTGTTCGCTCCTTACCATCCCTATCCTTCCCCACGCTCTTTGACAGACGGTCCTTGTACCCCTTCGCCCCCCCACCCACTGCCCATTCTCCCTTTTTTTTACATTCTCCACCACCCGCTGCGAGCCCAGCACATTCTCCAAAGAACAAGAAAAATTCCAAAAGAAAGAAAGAAAAAAAACCACTAGTCGTCAAGGACATCACTCGCAACGGCAAACCGCAACGTCCAACGCGGGGCATCGACTCTACTGCAAACAAAGTGCACCGGACCACCAAACACCCACCCCTTGTGACCTCGGTACCACCAGGCCAACTCCACCCTCACCACTGTTGCACCGCACCTCGCTGCCTTGGGGTCTTCCAGAATACTGCAACCGTTGCATTAGTCCAACACTAGCCCTCGACTGCTTGCACCTCGTGCCAGCAAAACGCGCAATTTATCTTCGGCAGTACCCCGCTTATCTGCGCCGCCGCATTCCTAGAGCGACCAACGACGGTCATTCCTAGAATTACCGGCCCTGCCTCCGACCGCTAGACACTTATCAGCCACTATCGCCCTTCTTGAGAATTAATTCATCAATATGTCTCTTGCACGCGCAATGACGAAGCGCATGAAGCGGACGGAGGAGCCCACTTCGCCCACTCGCCCAACTCGCAGCCAGAGTGTCAAGAACGGCTCCTCCATCGACCGTGCCAAAATCTCCCTCCCTATTGCTCTCGTCTCAACTACCAACATGCTTTCGTACAACGCACCCGACATCTCGAGCCTCAAGAATGCATCCTCCATGGCCTCTCTAACCCAAACCTCTTCGGCAGACGACTCGGACCACAGTGTATCCACTCGCTCCCGTGCTTCTTCGCATGCATCCAGAGACACTACCTTGACAGATGCCTCATCTGTGGATCTCTCGCCTATTTCACCAGTTCCAAACTACGCCGGTGGCTTCCCCTCTGGTGGCAAACCACTGAGAAAGTCTGCTTCAACCACCAGTCTCAAGCAGGTCAAGGAGGAGATTATCGAGCCAGTCCCAACTATCCCCGCGAGAGCCCTCTCCCACAGCAAGCGTGCCCATGAACGACTCGCCCACAAGCGATCTCTCCAGAATGTGACCACGCGGGGTAGCATCAGCTCACGTGGAAGCGTGGGCTCCGTGCGTAGCTCGCGCGAACGGCGATCGTCAGTCGACATGTTCAAGGCCACGATTGAAGAAGAGAGCCACCCCTTTGGCCGCGAACTCGAGCAGCTCAATGAGGTCGTCGAGGAGTTTGGTGGCGTAGTCCGCGACGCCGAGGCCGAAGCGGATCATTCCGCTATGCTGTCAAGGAATCTGGCCGCTTACTGTGCTGCCGACTATCTTGCCGAGATTCGTCCATTGTTCAGCCAACGGTTTGGCATGCCACACCAAGCTCCTGCCATGGCCTGGATCTGAGACCACTACCGTCAACTCTCCCCTTTATTACCCCGGGCGCCACTCCGATCGCCTCTGTTGCTTGTTGCCTTGATACCTTAGACACTCACGGTCTCATTTAGTCTGTACATATTAGCGCATTTCCGGCCTAACCCCCCGCACACTCATTTGTCTAATCTTAGTTTCTCGTGTTCTATATATTTTTTTTGCTTTACCTGCTGGTCTCGGTCGAAGGAAGGGCAACAGGCATTTCTCGAATCCCAGTCCCAGGTTTGGGGCACTACCCCGCACTGTCTTTAACGATGTCTCACGTTTGTTCTCTCTTGTACGATGTCCCCAGGAAAGGCAGTTTACCGTAGGCGCAGTCGTTTGTTTTTGGTCATGTTGTGTACAGTGGTTACACTGTGTCTATGTCTCAGACGTACATATCCCAAATTGAAAGAAACACATTTCTATGCCAGACACACAGCGGTCATTCACAACCCGTTCTTCACATGATAACTGTACAATGGTGTATTGACGACTCGGCAGTTGGCCAGTCTTGGGCTTGTGTCTCTTCCGTGCAGATCATGCTTGCGTATGCATCTCACCTGCCGAGTCCTCGATGGAGGGGGACGGGGGGGGCTCACGGGGAATTTCAAACTGGGAAGGTGCTAGGCCATGTCCGGCACCTGCCTATCCAAAGCTGTCAGGCCGGCGCATGTGCATGTACACGTAAATCTTAACATGATCTGTTAAGAGATCAATTCGGAACGGATGTAGACGACCACCGACATGGCGTTTCTAGCGCGATGGGGGTTGTTGATTTAACGTAGGATCTCATCGCCTAACCCCAACCGGCATCGGCGAAACACCTCGGCAGCCTTCCCTTGTCGTCTCAAACTTTTGAACGTATCGTCACTTGGGAACACCCAGTCCACCAACCCACCTCCGCAAATCGCCTCTCCCGGTCAATTGCAAAAATGATATGTCGATCGTGCCTGCGGGCTGCCTCGCGCAGCGCCCACCAAATACCGCCCGTCTCTCTGCGCCGCCCACAGAACCCACGCTTCTTCACCACCGCATCTACCCTCCGCAATGCCACGCCCATTTCCAGTTCCACAGCCACGCAATCCATGCCCCGCCAAGGCGACTCGACATCTTCTCACGCACCACCCACGGCCACATCGACGTCTGCCGCTCAACCCTTTAGCGAGCCATTAACGCCAGCCCCAGGTCCTGATGTGAAAGCGGCAGCGGCAGAGGCAGCAAAGAAGAAGGTTGCGCCCCTAGTCAAGAGCAGCATACCAGCGGGACAGCCACTCAAAGGTCTCAATTTCTTGAAGGATAGACAAGACCCAATTGCGGCGCCCGACGATGAATACCCCGCTTGGTTGTGGACGTTACTGGATCGGCAGGAGAAGAAGGCGGAGAAGGGCGCGGGTGATTTGTTTTGTATGTTTTTTTTCTTGTTTCCCCGTTGAATTGAAATTAAAAGAAAAAGAAATGGTTTGCTAACTGAAATCGCACAGCCAAATCAAAGAAACAGCGTCGTCTAGCTGCAAAGCGTCTCCGCAAGGAACAGGCCGAGAACCCTGAAATGTTGATACCCAAAGTGCCGTTGTACGAACAAACCATTGATTTACCCGCTGGTGACGGCACTCTGGCCGGTGCAGTGCAGGCTGCAGAGGCGCGAGACGAATTGACAAAAGCCATGCGGAATAAACGGAGAGCATCCATCAAGGAGGCTAACTTCCTGAAGGCAATGGGTTAAGAGGATGGATTTGAAGTGCGGGGTGGAGAATATACGGAAGAGAGGAATAGCGAGGTTGCAACTATGCCACTTGCTGCTAATCATTATGGTGCTGATTTGTATAGAATCATGTATATCATGTGACACTAGGGATGATTTTGGAATCACCATACCCAAGTTTATCTATCGAAACAGAAGAAGAAATGAAAACCAATACACAATCTCTCAATGGCAGACATCAAGACCAGAAAACTTCCAAGTCAAAAGAATTCGAGCATTTCCAGGCTCAACCACAACACCAACCTACGCATCTAGTCGATGAAAAAAAAAGTACGCGAAACTAATGCATTCAATATCTATATATTCCCAGATCC